TTTAAGACATCATTTGTATGCATTTGAAACAGTCGTAGAAACGAAACGTTATTAATTTCAATTCAAGAATAAGTTCTCCATTGCATAATAAGCTAATTATGCGAAGATTAATACGAAAATAACATGTGTTACGTCGATACAATTATTTATTAGCTTCTATATAAACATGACCTTTCGTTTTAACAACCTTATATTGACGCTGTATATAAAGTACAAGCTAATATCGCCGGCCATAACTCCGTTCACGCAAGCACCAGTCGGCTCCTGGTACCCTGGTATGGCGCATAGTTTCGCCTTGAACATGCAACCTCCGCAATAAAAATCCATGACATCTAACAGAAAGTTTTACTTGAATACTTTTGTTATACACTATTATAGGTAACGAACAAGCATCTGATAACGAGTGATCACCGCCGCCCGTGGACACTCACAACACGTGGGGTGTGCCCTCGATAACGCGCTTACTTAAAATATTAATTTTTCTTACTTCGCCTGTGCCGAAGATGCTGCGTGACTCAATTACAAAAGAGGCACACAGTAGACTATAGTATATTTATTACTAGTGGGTGGAATGGAAAACCGCATCAAGGTCCGTTGCGTAGTTTTAAAGATCTAAGCATACATAGGGACAGGCGACAGCGGGACGACTTTGTTTAATACTATGTAGTGATACACACACGTATGTCAAATATTGCCACAAATGTATATAACATTAAATACAATTCTATGTAATAGATTAAAATTTTACCGATTTTAGAGATATTTTATACATCGCGAGTTATCTTGGGGATCTGCTTGTTTATGGTCGAGTAATAGTCCACTCCAGTATTTAGTTACAGTCAATCTCCTATTTAAGTTTGACAAGAATATAACGCTAGTAAATAATGTACACAGATTGCAATAGAATCTGGGTACATTGCAATAGTTACAGGAGAATGAAACAATATTACCCAGAACAATTAATATATCACATTGTTACAATTAAATTGTGTCAAATGTTTGGCCCAGATTGTATTGTATTGTCGTGGGATGGAAACACAAGTTTTATTGTTCATTGACTCAGAAAAAAGAAAATGGCGAACAATGGCTCACCACATTTTTCCTCCCATCAAACCTTTTATATGAGACTAGTTTATACGCATATAGGACATAGTATAAAACACATGATAGAATCTCAAAATTTCTCAGATTCAACAAATTTTGTACTGTGGTTGGCTGGGGTATGGATATGGCCCGGCGGCTTGACAGCTTCGGCGGAAGAGGTCCGCGGGCAGTCGACTCACGGACTCGGGAGAACAACGTAGCCTATGCACGACGACGACAAGAAACCCTGTCCGCTCCGCTGTACTCCACAACACCCTCCTAACGAAAGATGGACAATCGACTAACAAGAGGGGGGGGGGGGGGGGGCACGACACGATCCAAGGGCCCCTCAGGTGGAGGTTCAAACCTCGGCTTGGATCGCAATCGATATCCATACTAATATTATAAATGCGAAAGTAGCTTTGTCTGTCTGTCTCGCTTTCACTCCAAAACTACTGAACCGATTTAAATGTAATAAGTATCATATTTTATGCTTGGCAACAAGCAATAACATGCAATAACATTCAGGCATTTACATGACACATTTTTTTATGAATTTATAAATTGGATGTAAATGAACATCACCCCCCTTAACAACAAGACAATTTTAATAAATCTTATGTTTTGATTAAGTGTTTTTATTATAAATTTGATGTGACCAATAAATTATTATAATTTTCTCAATGCGTACTATAATTTTCATTAATTAAATACACAACAACTTCAAATATCCCAATCATTATTTTCTACTTGATTTTGAGGCTACTTATTCTTTTCAATTCCCTCACATACCTCTGAGACACATGGGAGCTCAACTGAACTCAATACAAAAATAATGTTTAAAGTAAAAAAAGTAAAGTAACAGCCTATACATGTCCCGCTGCTGGGCAAAGGCCTCCTCTATACAGAGGGTATCAGGGCATAGTCCACCACGCGGCCCCACTGCGGATTGGCGGACTTCACATATTTTCTAAATATATTTTTTTTTGTTATTATTTTGAAAATATGCAGGTTTCCTCACGATGTTTTCCTTCACTGTGGAGCATGTGATAAGTCAGCACTTAAAGTTAAAAACTTCATTGGTGCCGGCACCAGGGATCGAACTCAGGTTGCTCGAGTATATTGAATTAAAGGCGAGCGCCCGGACACTGAGCTATCACGGCTCTAAAATAATGTTTATAGTTCATAAATAACAAAGTTCTGAGGTAATATACATACATAAAAAAGGGTACATTGGAATTGAGAGCCTCCCTCTTACCTGAAGTCTGTCAATAAATAACAAAAAAAGGTATTGTATATTACCTTAACAGCAGTGCAAGAAGCAAATATGTCATTTTACCAAGCTATTTTTTCCCAAACATAAAAATGGCAAGCTTGACCTTAAAAAGACAAAAAGGTCACTAGAATTTAAAGTTCCGAGCTCTGGAAGTAACTGCTTTTTGCAAATTTTATACGATTTATCTATTAAAACTCACACAAATTTCAGTCAACCAATTACCATAAGTTTATAAAATGATTTTCATTTAAGTTGGCTAAAATTTTATGTTTAGATTGAATCTAGATAGATAAGTTTGTACCCAACTTTTTTGTTTCAAACAGTATAATAACATACATAATCGTTGCACCTCCTCGGGACTGAGGATGTAAAACATTTTTGTACATACCACATTGTTATAATTGAAGGCTGCTGCGCTAGACCCGTAAAACTCTCTGTTCAATTTGTCACCCATTATAGTACGCCCGGAACTAGTACATTAAAATAAATAACACTTAACAACATCATTGAAAAGGTAAATTAAACACCATTATTATAAATTAAAACTACGACCGTTGGGATTGGGAGCGTCCGAACTAACATGTCTTTTCAAGAATTATAACGTTCATCCATTAATTATCCAATGCCATAGATCTGAATATAATTAAAAAGGCATTTTAGGAAAGATTTCAATATCTTAAATAGAATTCAATTATTATAATTATACTTAATTTATTCACAAAGTATTGTGAAATCTAAATTCACTTCACTTGACAATTCACCTTGACATACAAAATAACAGATTAAAAATATTATGAAGTGTTTAATCGTTTGGATACTTTTAACTGCATTTACATTAAACAAAACACACATTAGTATCTCGGGCTCCCAGTTATAAAAAAATGAAATAATTTATTAACTTGCAATATTTTCTCTATATTATATTTTTACTCGCTTCTACTTAATAAAATTTTGTTGGCTATATTCTTACGGTTATCATAGAATTACGGTTTGGGCTTGTTAACTATAAATATCAACTAAGTTTTAAAATAGCAATAAAAATACGTTTTCATAAATAAAATTATTTACATTAGTAAATAATGTAAATAAGAACTAGTGTAGTATTTACTAACTTATTTTTCATTATGAAGTGTTCCAAGTAAAGATATTCGACTTGAAGAGTTGATTCCAATCGTACGTAATCAAGGAAATGATTTGATTGCAGATATTAAAAAGTCGCAATCAAAAATCGCGCTCAATTTTTGAAAATTCAATGCAACAAGAACTCGCTTTTAATAATCGCGTAAATCTAATTAAAACCAATGACATAATATATAAATACGAGGTAGATATGACAATAGGGCACCGAAACTGAGTTTCATTACCTAAGTATGTATAATCTACATCTATGAAACTGAGACACTCAAATTACTCCAATTGATGTAATTATATTGCAATTCTAGTGACTGTAGTACTATAGTACAATACTCATCAAAATAATTTCGAATTAAAAAAAGTTCTATATGAGACAAAATATAATTAATTGAATTTCTTTGAAGGCAATATTCTAGACCACAGATATGTTTTTCTAAACACCCGAAGTGAAGCCACGAAAACGACCCAATTGTGACGTGTGTCTGTGAGTAAATGAAGCCTTAGGCACTAGGCATAGGCAGGCACGTAGGCAGGGCGCCGCCGAGAAAAATGCGGTGTCAATTTTTAAATGCATACATAAAATAACGTTGGTTAAAAACGAAGCTTTATTTAAGTAACATACCTAGTGTCCGCAAAAAACTAGTTTCGGTTTCGGCGCCAAACCTGCCGAAACTACGACCGAACCCGAAACAGCATTCGGGAGTTCTCGCGCTATGATCGGTTATGATCAGCGCGTGAAATTCCATCCACGCAAGCAAGCATCGAAAACTAGCGATGGGATGTTGAAGGTTTTTTCGTCAACGTTGATTCATGTTCGTCAATGTGATGCTGTAAGGATGAATTAACGGATTTTATTTGATGCTGCGATCAGAGAAGTTTCGTTTTCGGCCGAAACTGAGACTGTTGCCGAAATGCGGTTTCGGTCGGACACTATATCATACTATATTAAACTTAAAAAAAAAGTAAAATAACAGCCTATGCTGGGCGAAATCTCCTCTATAATAAGTCTATACAAAGGCATTAGGGCAGTCCAATTATGCGACCCTACTGCGGATTAGCGGACTTCACATATCTTTGAAATATTTTTTTTGTTATTTCGAAAATATGCAAGTTTCCTCACAATGTTTTCCTTCACCGCTGAGTATTCGATAATTAAGCACTTATAATTAACAATTTCACTGGCACTGAGTATTTTGAATTAAAAGCGAGCACCTGGACACTTAGTTACCATGGCTATACAAACTAAAATTGAAATTAAAACAATTTAAAAAATAATAAAGAATAGTAATGGCGAACATTGCCGTGGTAACATTTAGGTACTTATTAAAAAAGTACTAACAATACAAGAGAAATCAAATGTACATATGTTAAGATGGCCAAGTTAGTCATTTTTTCGTTCAGTTGTAATAAAAATTCAAATACTGCTGATTAATTTCTTTCTTTAACATTTCTTTAAGAAAACAATTCATATATATATATGTTTATTCACAATATAATATAAACATCATGATGTCATTACTTTACATTTATCAATATACTTTTGAATAACATCTGTGCCCATGCGTTCAGCGATAATTTTTAAAGAAAATCCGAAAATTTCCCAAGCTATATCTTTATCTCTGGCAAGTTCAGAATCTGCACAGTAGAAGCAGTTATTGAAGTACAACCCTGTTACACCACTTAGCTCATTTGCTGTTGCGACATACACAGTTGTTGCTGCTGCTTGTTGCTGTAATTTAAAGATCATGACTATATAAAGATTATACACATACCGTGTTATTTCCTGACAGGAAATAAGAGAAATCAATAATTAAATAAACATATCTGCCCAATCTAATATAGTATTTTGAAAGAAAGAGTGGTGAAATGTTTGTATGTGATAAGATAAGCAGATGCTTGTTATTTGTCATGAACAAATATTTTTACTTAAGCCAGTTAATAATTGTATATGGAGTTAAGACCGGCGTGAAGTGTTATATTTCTGCCTTTTGTCTGGTGAGTGAGGTAGCCGGGCCCATTTTATTGAAAGTAAGGCAATTGGCAACGCATCTGGAACCCTACGGGTGTCGCAAACGTCCATGAGCGGCAGTTATCAATTAACATCAGGGTAATCGCCAGCTGGCTTACCACCTTCCCATATAAAAAAAAAATTACACTGCATGCCTTTGAATGTTTGTTGAATGGTTTTGCTTTATTAATAAAGTCATTAGTCCCATTTTAAAGGGAAAGTCTGCATGAAAAACGTGGTCATAGTGTGTACTTGGAGAGGACTGAGTTTTGCCTATAGGCTTTGGTAAATTATACATCCTTATATAATAATATAATTTCCATCAAGTAAACTAATTGCTTGGTTGCCATGTCCACTAGAAAAAAAAAACAAGAATCACTTATACAGCGTGTCGTTACCATCGCGACAATAAATGAACACACAAATGGGAGATAACTTTTTAAAGTTGTGTTAAACATTTAAATTCTTTAAACATCAATATTTACAGAGTTATTAAATTTTCCAAAGTTTTAGAACACCTCACCTATAAAAGCGTAACGTAAAGTTCATTTGTAAAGGTCACAAAGCATATGAATGGGTTGATTGAGTTTAAAAGAGACAAAACATACTGTCAGAAGGACAAGCCTCTCCTACTACCAGTATTTTTTGTCTCTTTTAAATTCATTCAACCCATTCATATGCTTTGTGACCTTTACAAATGAACTTTACGTTACAGTTTTATACATAAGGCTGTTCTAAAATTGTTTGTTTTGGAAAATTTAATAACTAAGTAAATATTGATGTTTAAAGAATGTAAATGTTTAATAAAATTTTTAAAAGTTATCCTATATATGTGTGTTCATTTATTGTCGCGGTGGTAACAACATGCTGTATACTTAAATACAGTTATAGTACTTACTAATGACTTTGTAAATGGCCTTATCATGAAAAATATAAGTCTATACAACCACCAGGATTTACAAAGGTTAGTGTAGACCATGTTGCCAGGATGCAAAGAATTAACATTTATTCCCTTGTTTTTCCATTCTTCACTCAGTATCTAAAATAATAATGCAACATGAATTTAAATATCATATAAAATTTATATTCAATTTTTAATTTTAGCTAAACAGGATAAATAACCTCTTTATTTACCAAAAATAAAAACTTATAATATTTGTTTCTTACCTTTGCTATAATTACCATATATAATTTAGAATTATTGTACGCCATCATAGAGCTGTATGTATCCTTAGTCATTGCAATATTCTGCAGTGTAAATACATTTTTTAAAGTGGCAAATCTGTAATTATGTAACAAACAATAAGAAAATGTTAATAGTTAGTTATACATTTAATAATAAACAATAGTGAAAAAACTAAATGCCTTAATACTGCTTTTTGATGACCAATATTTGATAAATATTTTGTTTAGTTCTGTACTTTTTTCTTTTTTGGTGTACAATAAAGTATATTATTATTATTACCCTATTAATACTTACCGATGAGATTCTGAAGACACAAATACAACTCTTGTTCCCTTCTTAAAGAGTGGTTCTAGTAATAGAGTTAAGTAAAGGTGTCCCAAGTAATTCACTTGAAAAGTAGTTTCAAGCTTATCCCTTGTTTCAGTATATGGCAGACCAAATACTGCTGCATTTAGTATTAATATATCAAGGTGACTGAAATTATAATATATAATACACTATAATGGAGAAGGTAGCACTATATAGGCAATATAATAGTTTTATAGTATATTAAACATAAAAAATTGGTGCATTAACAGCTTATATATGATCCACGACATCATTTACAATGTGTAGGGCCACGCAAGTCTTCACTGTTGCATGATTGATCAGTTCCGCCCCAGTAAGTACCACAACCTCACAGGAGCACAGTGCACAGTGGTGAAAAGGAATGTTGAGTGTTATTCTTCTGCATTCTGTGTGGTGAGTGATGTAGCGGGGCTCCACTTTATTATAAGGTGCCAATGTATATGCAACCTAACAGGTGGTGCAAATGACAATGGGCGGCAGTTATTACTTAACATCAGGTGAACTGCCGAATCAAATACCACCTTCTCACATAAAAAAATGCATCCCTACCACAGATTGGTTGCATACACATCTTCAATGTTTTTTATTATTATTTTGAAAACATGCCAGTTTCCCCACTATGTATAGTTTTTCTATTAAAATTTAATCTTACTCTGAAAATATGGTTTTCACAGTTGAGGCACATTTTTTTACACTCTCCAAGGATGCTAAATCTAAATATGTGGATTTTAAATTATCTTCTGATGCATTTGTTTCTCTAACAATGTCATCAATGGCCTTTTGAGTTGCTTCCATGTTTCTGTTAGCCATTAGAATGTTACAGTTATGCCTTGCAAGCGACTTTGCAGTTTCATAGCCTATACCAGCATTGCAGCCTGTAATTAAGGCATACTTTCCTGATAAATCTACACCATGTAGTACCTAGGAAGTGAGAACAAAGATCATTTTAATTAAAAAGAAAAATTCTAAGTAGAATCAATAGTAAAATATATGTCATCAAAATAAACTAGTGTTCTACATAATTCAAAATTATAGTGAAAAAATTATCTTGCTAATTAATATGAGAAAATTATTAAAAGTCATTCATTACCCTTCAACAAACTTTATATGACAAAAAATTAGGATAGATACAGAAATATAATAATTCTACCTGAAATGCAGTGGTGGATGCATCAAATCGCTGTCTAAAGTCATTAACATGTCTCTTCTCTTCTGTTGCAAAAGCTAGTCTAGGATCAACATAAGTTTTATTTCCAGTTTCTTGTTGTAAATACATAATTTTACCACTCTCGTCCACTGTTTTGGTCCAACCAAAGGGTAACTCTTTCGGAATTACTTTTTTTCGTCCTGTTCTAGGATGCGTCCATTGCACTTTTTTTGAGCATGAACTAAAATTAATGATAGATCAAAAATATTGTGAAATTAGAAGGTCACTTATAAAGATATATATAGGTAGCAGGTTGGGAGGGGGGGGAAAGGGGGCAGCATAATACGGAGTATTTTTTCTTAAATTGTAACCTTACTTTACAGTCCCTATTTTTTTTTAGCTGGCAAAGAGTAGGGGAGTAGAACCAGTAATTCTTCCGATCCTACCCCTAGTGTTTTTAGAGCCCTGAGCGTAGGGCCGTGATCGCCTGTGACTTTGTTACGCAAAGGCGCACGGAAAGGCTGCCCTCTCTCCGCACCTCCAGGCTGTAAAAATCTTTCTAGGGTTGTTTTGCTCACTGAACATTCTATATGGTGGTATTAAATGTCATCTTCTTCAATATAATACGATCAATAACTCTACAACTACGTTTTCTTATATTAGTAGGAACCGACAATAAAAATTACACCATCCTAGCTAAATGTACAGATAATATACAGATAAAAGTGGCTAGCCATGAAATTTTATGGCAATTGGCAATTCGTTTGAAACAAGTTTCAACACATACTTAACGAAATAAACATTTCCATCTTCAGTTGATTTTTCTTCCCAACCCGGAGGAAGTTCATCTTCACTATCGGAATCAATATTTTGCATTATGTAGAATAAATTTCCTAATGGAATGAGTTATTAACTTCGATGCTAAACTTTAACAATTATAAATATAATAATAACATAATGAATAATAACTTGAGTTGATCCGTTAATGCAAAGAGTACTTTTATATATCTGAAATGAGTGAAACGACTCTTTATCACTCGTTTAACGTTTTGTTTTCTAGTTAGGTACCTATCCAATTCCAATATCCATAGGGCAGCCAGTGTTGCCAACTAATTTAAAAAAATAGTCCTAAAATAAAAATATAAAAATGAAAATTTCAAAAGCCCCAAAAAATCCCTCAATTGTAATCAAAAATGTTGTTTATATGAGTTTCACATTTTGTTAATGTAAGTAAATATAAATTACTTTTCATTAGAAAACAACATAATAGTAACTATAATTTCATTAATTACATTAATTTATAGACACTGCTTTTTTACTCATTTTGTTTGGTCAAAATGATACCACAAAAGTTCATTTGACCAACTTCACGGTATTGCAATCGCAACCAGTAACAACTTTTTGACATTTACCTACAATTCCAAGTTATTTTATTAAACCGTTATCAAAAATGGTAATATATACAAATAAAAGTTAGATACATCTGATTCAAAAGTTACATAAATCCACCATCCACCCGCCGCGGCTTCGCACGGGTGCAAAGTATTATACATGCAAACCTTCCTCTTGAATTACTCTAGCTAGTACAAAACGGCATCAAGATCTATTACGTTGTAGTTTTAAAGATCTAAGCATACATAGGGATAGACAGACAGCGCGACGACTTTGTTTTATACTATGTAGTGATTATCTATGATGCATCAATTCTATTTTATTTACTAAAAAATAACAAATGAACTATAAATAATAGGTACTTTTTTAAATGAAAGTGGGTTTTGTTTACGCCTTAAATTCATTAGGGTAAATATCAATGTAGTTGCAGGTGTTCTATGTTACATGAACACCTTTACATAATTACTATGTCACATACACATACGCTAACGCATTTTGCTGACTACATGGGGCTCAACGAAAATTGAGGAAGATGATTACGATACAACCGAAGTTGGCAGCCAGTCTCGTTGCTCTGCAAAGCGATCCGAGTAGACGGGATTTAAAAAGAATAACTAAACGATAATGTCATTAAAATAGTTGCATTTAATAATTGCTAAACTGAAACAAATCATGTTATTGGAAATAATCAGGTTGCATGAGTGAGGTTTTCAGGGTCCCCATCTATCTGATAGATGGGGATCAGCAATTAGCAGCGTGTCTGAAACACCTCCGGTGTTTTAAGTGCTCACGGAATTACGTTTCACTTACCGTGGGAACAGCTTGCTCAACTCCTTTGTCTTTTTTAAATTAAATAAAACGCCCATGATGCAGCTTGTACGACATCCAAACGATTACATTTTACTAAGGAAATTTTTGAACAATGAACTAATAATAAAATACTATGAGTATAAATAATAAAAGTAATACGATAAATCAAATCTGTAACACCTACAAGCATTTTTCTGATTTAATAATGATGATGTAAAAATACTTTATATGATATTGTACAGATATACGAGGGCTGTTTGATAAGTACCCGTTTTCTATAAATGTATTTGCCATTTTTAAGAGGCGGGAACATTAAAAAAAAGCTTGAATTATCGCGAATATAAAAAAAATATTTGACAAAAAGCTTTTCATACGTTACATATATTAACAATTTGTAACATGTAAAAACTAAAATATATGTATAGTATTCGATGATTGCCTTGGCACAGCTGATAAGCGATACACTTCAGCGTTGCGGGTCATGGATTTGATTCCTAGTTCGGTAACAATTATGAGTATGATGTAACAAATGTTCCGGATCAGGGTTTTTGTCCTCGTTTAATTCGTATATGTGAAACGCCAGAACCGGGTTATCTTATCGTTCTGGGGGTTAACGTTATTTTAAAGTAAAAACATTAAAACATCTTTTATTTCTACATTAATATCTTACACGGGTATAATTAATTTCTAGATGCAATATTTTTTAAATTATTTACAGGAACCAGGTACATGTTTATATTAATGCTAGTGTTATAGTCTTGTTATAATTTCTGTTTTCACCTCATCCCGCTTGGAATTTGGCAGCAGGAAAGATGATAAGGCGCAAACTGGAATCAAATGAAATTAATTACTAAGTAAAACTCCTACGATTCTACTGTACGGAAGGCGGGATTTTTTAAATGGTATCTCGTCTACTGTCAAAAAGAGATACTCTGATACAGGGATAATTTCCTAGTGCCTTTTATTAATTTTATACATGCAACGTGACGCTTCCATAAAACCGCTACCATAAAACAAATAAAGAGAGTACCTTTTTAAAATTGTATTTAACTTTCTTTAAACATAAATATTTAACGAATTATTAAATTTTACAAAACAAATAATGTTGGAACGTATAAAACTGTAACGTAAAGTTCATTTGTAAAGGCCTTAAAGCATATGAATTGGTTGAATAAATTTGATTTTAAAAGGGATAAAACATACTGTTAGAAAGACAGACTTGTAACTTGTAACGCGAAGTTGTGGTAACGACTGAAAAAGTCTCTGAATGTATGAAACCCTGTGACACTTATTGTGGTAGTCCCGGGCTCTTGAATAGGACTAAGGTATCCCCTGCCTGTCGTAAAAGGCGACTAAAAGGGGACATGGATTAGCAGCAGCACGAAGTGGCCTCGAGCTGCTGCAAGATGGCGAGGGAATCCGAGAAGGTTTATCCTTCTCCGAGGCGTGCTCACGCCCAGTACCGAGGGACACCGGTGCGTTCCGTAGGAGATCCCGGAGTCCCTCCAAACGTACAGAAGGAGGCCGAAGAACACACCAGCAGTCTTCGCTGTTGCATGAATGGACATGTACCATGACCTCTCAGAAGACCGGCGTGAAGTGGAACTGTTATATTTCTGCGTTTCGTCTGGTGAAAGAGCGTTATCGGGGCCCACTTAATTAAGTGGTGGCAACGCATTTGTTGCAAATAGGCGCATACGGGTGGTGCAAATGTCACGGACGGCGGTTATCACTTAACATCGGTAGAACCGCCAGCCCGATTACCATCTTCTTACATAAAAAAAGGTTTTGACTGATGAAATAAATTATTATACATTTGCATTATTACTGACATAGTGTGAAGTGTGTCATAAACTTACGAATCAGGAATCCTCCGAACATGTAGAAAGTAGCGGTGCAGGCGGCGTTCAAAAGCAACCCAGCGACGTTGGCCCCTACAATGGATCCGCAACGGCCGATCATCATCGACAAAGATACAGCCATGCCCCTTTATGATGATAAAAAACACATACACAAAAACTAAAATTGTACATAGGGCATTAGAATTCAAGCACATCAATCAAAGACTGACACCTGATTTCTGAAACACTGATCATCTTAGATCAATTACCAGGACGACCCGAATGGCGTAGTTGGTAGTGTACCTGCCTCCTGCGCCAGAGGGTGTGGGTTCGATCCCCACTACTGGAAAAATATTGTGTGATGAACATGGTGTTTTTCTAGTGTCTGGGTGTTTCTATATGTATAATATATATTTATTTACAAAAGAAAAGTATGTTTAAGTATGTTTATCAGTTTTCTAGTACCCATAGTACAAGCTTTGCTTAGTTTGGGACTAGAAAATGTTGTGTACAAATGTGTACTAAAAAAAAATTGTCTATAAAAACGACAAATTAAAAGAGTTTAACAATTCTTTTTGGTAACTCAAATAACATTTGATAATCCATTTGACAGCTGGTTAGTTGACTTCTACGATGATCAGTGTTCCAGAAACCGAGCATGAGTCGATAACAGTGGAATGGAGTTAGTTTTTGATTAATCACGATACCGCTGTCTCTCTCAGAGGTGATGTAAATCTGCGTCGTACATAAAGCCCGTATGAAGATTACAGCTCTTCGAACGTGTTGAGACCCTAGTACAGGATATCTGTATGTATGCGCTTTGGGTGTTGTCGGGTGAAACTAGTATTTTAATAATATAATGTTATATAGTCCCAAACTAAGCAAAGCTTGTACCATGGATCCTAAGTAACTGATTAACATACCTTTTGATCTTATACTACTTTTGACGCGTTTTGAAAAAAATATGAAAGTAAAATTTTTATGATACGCGCACACGGACCCTAAAAAAGCAACACGATAAAGTTGATTGTTAAGTAACTTTTTTTTAACAAGGTTATTAATAACTTTTTGACATTTACCGATATTTCCAAGTTTAAATAACTTAATAAACCGTTATTAATTACGTTTAATGTCTTTACACTACTTTACTTTAGAGAAGTATAACTTCTTACGTGCGTATATATACATATAATTGATATACAAGCACTCTGACACTTGAAAAACATTATGTTCGTTACACAACATTTTTCCAGTAGTGGGAATCGAACCCACACCCTCTGGGGCATGAGACAGGATCACCATGCACTACATATTGTTCATTTGACAACTCACCGTAGATGGGTGGGAAAGATTTCGACTGCGTAAGCGTTAACCGGACCAATCGCCAGTCCAATAATCGGTATCGCCGACAGGAAAATCGCGAACAATATGTCTTGGGTCACGATGTTTATCATAATGCAGAAGACGCCAACGAGCGTGAGCACAGCCGTGAGCAGTTTTTTCTTGCCGATAATCTTGACTGTGCTGCTGACGACGATTGCGATAAGGGCGCAGGAGACGTTCGCGATGCAGTTAATGATGTAAGTTATCGTGTCAATTCTGTCATTGCAAATAGCAACGTGGGACCCGGTCTGAAATTGTATCTGATATTTGTTATATACTCGCAATACCAGTATGTTGAAAAGTGTTGGTAACCATTGTGTGCCTCACTCGCCGGATAAAACGGAACGGTAAAAATTTCCGCCCGTCTTTTGTAACCTTTCACTGTGGTAGGACCACGCAACAGTCCTCGGTGTTGTACGAGTGGGGCAGGTCCGTCAGGGGAAGTACCACGACCTCACAGAAGACCGGCGCGGATTAGAAGTATCTATTATACTTCTGGGTTTCGTCTGGTGAGTGAGGTAGCCGTCTACTTCATTAGAAGGTAGCAACGTATCTGCAATCCTACGGGTGTTGCAAATGTCAATGGGCGACGATTATCACTTCAGTCATTCAATCAACATCAGCTGAACCGCCAGCTGGTTTGCTACCTTTTCACATTAAAAAAAATTACCTGGTGGAACTTTCTGCCTGCCTCATTATGCCGCAGGACCTGTTATATAAGTTGTTAAGAAAACAGCTTTTCTTAACAATTTATGTAACATGTAGGTAATTAAAAATTCAGTGAATTACGGTAAAATTTTCTTGTCAAATGCGGGAGCACGCTTTTTATTCTGTACACTCCGAAGACCTGAGTTTAAACAAGGAGCCGATGGTATTTTAAGTTTCAACTTAAGGTAGAAGCGATTTACCAAGCACATGTAAATGATGAAAAGAAGAAATACTAAAATAAAAACTTTGTTGTAATTGCTTCTGCAGATGTGGAAATATAGTAAAAACAAATTGTAAGACTCAATCCAAGGTTGATTAGGGGGCAATCTTACATTAGTAGCAACAAATAATACATTGAAAAACATACTTTGTTTAGCCGCTGAGCAATTACTTCGCAGGCAGTGAGTCCTTCGCCGTCTCCCGTCAAAACCCGGTTTAACACGTCTGGCAACCAAACGTAGAGTCCATTCAACCTATACAGTTTTAATTCGTTTAGCAACAACAAGTTAGGATTTTTCATAAAGTGAATTCTTAAATCCGTTTTTGACGACTCTCCGAGCGCACTCGTTTTTGAATAGATTCGGCTAAACATTAAATAATGTAGTCAGCATGCACATGGTGATCAGATAGTTGCAGATTTTTTTAATATCTTGTGTTTTGAAAGTTGCAAAACCAAACATCATTTTCGAGTAGTACAACTAGTTTAAAAGCACCCTTAGTCAAATGATTGTACCAAAGTGACATGTAGCATGAAGCTTTATTTATCTTTAAATAAGATGATATAATAGGGCCACGCACCAGCCTCTGCTGTTGCACGAATGGGCAGGCCCGTCCGGGTAAGTACCACGACTTCACAGAAGACCGGCGTAAAGTGGAAGTATGACCAATACTTTCGCGTTTCCTCTGGTGAGTGAGGTAGCCGGAGCCCAATTTTCAAAAGGTTGTCAACGCATCTGTAACCCTCGGGTGTAACAGATGTCCATGGGCGGCGGCATTCACTTACCATCAGGTGAACCGTCTGCTCGTTTGGCAACTTTTCACATAAAAAAAAAACCTTTAAGGATAAAACAGTTCTCATTGATGTAATAAAAAATAATAAAAATATAAAACGAGTCTTTACTAGTATAAAAAGACATGTATAATTCAGACACATTTAAAATTCTGAATTTATTTGTGTCATCTTCGTTCTGATATCTTTATTTAAGCAGATACCCCAGGCTTACCAGGTTCGTCTTGCCATATTTAGACTTACAGTAGATCTTCTTGATCTTCATCCTTTCAAAGATCTTCTTTGCTGTGAATAGTTGATGTAAATTAATAAATCGATTTTATTAATTTACGTCACTTATTCACTATTGTTACACATGCTGTATGAAAATAGCATTGTTAATATAAAATTAGGAAAATTACATTTATTGAAAATCAACTTACGTTGCAAATATACCAATGAAAATAAAACTGTTGAGAGACATCCATTTCAAGTATGGCGCCCTTAACAACGGTACAGATTGCACCTTCAAAGAAGTAAAAAATCCGATTTTTTCCTTTTTAACACAACCTTCCATATGCAATTGTTTTATCTGTAAACGTAAGTGTAATATATTAAAGAAGTTAATCAAAATTTCAAATTCAGCATTGGAGTAGATGAAAAATATGCACATTCTTTCGTGGAAAATGTGTAAGAAAATCGCTAAAAACTATTCTCTATCCATTAGGGCGTATAACCTAACATATTAATTTGACCCACTTAGGGAATGATACCCTCCGTCTACTTAGAGGTAGACGTCTGCAGGAGGGTGTGGGTTCGATCCCCACTACTGAAAGTTGTGTATGATGAACATAGAGTTCTCTAGTCTCTGGACATTTATAATAAGCTTTGCTTAGTTTGGTACTAGATAAGTGTAAATACATGACCTGAAAATATTATTTATCTATTTAACATTGATTGATGCGATGTCGTGAAATATTAATCTTATTTACATGGTTCTTACTGGATATTCGTCACAGGATTTTCCCGTGTTTTTAGAATAAATCATCTTCAGTATTTCGAGTGTTTCGTCGTGCCTGCCCTGTGACAATAGAAACTTTGGACTCTCTGGGCCACACAACAGCAGCATAGCTGATATCAAGAAGGTGGATCCGTAGATTATCGTTAGTAGTCTCCACGGGCGAAAGTTGTATGCTCCAAAATCTACACTGAAGTCGAGCGGTAGAATCGCCCAAGCTAGCACTGAAAAAAAAACAACAATGATAATATTATTTGAAATTAAACCGAACAGCTGCTGTTGTCAAATTTCAAGTTCGGTCAAATTTAAAAATAAAAACGTTGCATAACGCGGTGGTTATGCCACTAATGATTAGGTCAAGTCCCGTCAAAATCATGTTTTATTCTTGATACCTTCGAAGGATTAACCAGTACAATAACAATAATTTCTCCCTTTGTTTATAAATTGCATATATATTGCAACGCTAGCATATACCTACATACAAATAATATAGCGGAAAGTTTCAAAATATGTTGGAAAATAATTAGAAAATAATGAACAGCAAGCAACTTACATGGAACCAAGACTGATCCTAATATCTGCATTGCGTTGATTATAGACAGAGTGACGTCTCTGTACTTTAGCGGTAAGATTTCGCCTATAAACGTGTAAGGCACAGAAGAAGGACACGCGATGCTGAAAAATGTAGGAAATGCAAGTGTAGGATGATACTTGAATAATGAATATATATCTATATTCATTATTCAACCTCCAACATGGAAAACTAAAACAGGAAATTTACCACAGAGAGGCGAAAACTTTGCATACTGTAAAACTGCTAAAGTCCGGCATGAACGCGGAGATGATTGATAGCCCGCCGCCGACTAACGAACTGCATATAACCGTCATCTTTCTCCCCTTCGTATCCACCAAATATCCCCAGGGGAATGAGGACAATACAATTCCTATAACAAATAACATCCTTTTTATTAATAGAAACGGTGAAGTTTAGTTTGTTAATTTGTCGCTGATTTTTTATTCGTTACGCGATGACCCGATGGCCCAGTTGCTATAGCTTCGGCGCCGAGGGTCATGGATTCGATGCCCACACGGGACAAATATTTGTTTGACCCAAAGATAACTTTTCCGGTTCTGGGTGTTTGTTCTGGGTTAAAAACCAAGCCAAACCTAGCCGGCTTACAACATGATTCACATGTTGTTTATTGATGATGTTGTATATTAAAGATAAAGTTTTAAGATAAAGGTTAATTTATGATGATTTAACGCTTCTTCACCTCTAAACGGTTTAATAGAAATGCAGATAACGTCCCAGCAAACATTTGTACCTTAGACACACTGAACGCAACAAGGTGTCAAAGTAATGACGAAAGTCCTGTAATCAAAAAAGGTTAACCTTTTTTTCCCATTGTAATAATATTGCAATGACACAAAGAACACTTTCGGCATAGAGTTAAAAAAATCATACAAAAAATACAGTTGCTTAATGACAATAATCAGAATAATTCTGTACCTCCGAGGTAAATAGCGTTATGAGACAAAACACAAATTTTACAGGAGAGGCAAATGAGTGAATCCTTAAAAGCACTATTGATTACGATTTCATATACAATTGGATATTTTATTAATTAGGCGTCGTTGGACTTAATGCTTTATACTAAATGTGTAGAATTTGTTTTTGCGATTTTAATGGTGTAAGAAAAATAATTTTGAATAATGTGGAGTTACTATTGCATTCCTCTGAGGTACAGAATTGTTAATAGATGCTGCTTAGCCATTGGCTTCGGCGTCGGGGGTCGTGGGTTCGACCCACAGATTATTGTTCCGGATCTGAGTGTTTGTTCCCGAGCAGTGTTTGCGTAAAGCAGGTGGTCGTAAAAAACCGAGCCAAGCCTATTTTGACATAGTGAATAGTGAGCCCGTCTCGGCTTCAGTGAGCGTGAATTCGATCACTACTACTGGAAAAATATATGTGATGAGCCAAGAAAAACCATGTGTTTTTCTAGTGTCTGGGTGTTCATATATCAATAATATGTATTTATTTACAAAATGAAGGTATATTTAAGAATGTTTACCTAATATCCAAAGCACAAGCTTTTCTTAGTTTGGGATTAGATGGCGTTATGGAAGTCGTGAAATATTTAAATTTAAATTTGAAATAAAATCTTATTTCTTTTATCCCAAAGCTTAAGACTTAGGTTACGGAGTATATTCTTGAACGTGATAATAAATCACGACTTTCACGACATTCAACGTGATAGTTTTGCAAGATAAGCAATAATCTTTGCGCAAATGTTTAAAAAATAAATTTTAAAAGTATTGAAATCAATAATAACCCAACAGGGTGAGGCGAATGCTGTTATTAAGCCATCAGTTTTTATAATATAATGCTGAAAATCTAGGCTACTGAAATTGTCTTATGTGTTGATCGTATTATGTGAGTTCACCCTTGACAACTGCAATGAAAAGGTTTTGCTTTGTTTTTATAGATAGTATTCATAAGATCAACTTAAATCGGATAATTGAGTCTCTAAATCTCACATACCGTCTGTGATATTGACTGTTTTTTATCATTTAAAGCTACTGGGATCCGAACTTTATCACGTCGCTTGATAACGTCCCAGCTTTTCTCTGCTAAATATATGAATATATAACTAGTCATACCTATAAAAGGTACAGAGCTGAGGAAACCGCGTTGCGCGTCCGTCATTTTGAGGTCGCATTTTGCGGCAGGCAATACATAAGAGTAGCCCAAGGGCTCCACGATCGCTGATATCAGGAACAGGGCCAACACCATACAATACTTGATATTGTACCAGCCGACACCTGGAGAGGAAAGGACATTTGAAAAGCCATTTAACAGCTGATTAGTTGACTGTTGATTAGCTACGATGATTTGTGTTTCAGAATGCAGGCATTATGTAAACATATTTGTTTTTGTTTTGGTCACCCACTACATGAAATTAATCAAAACTTGCTACATCATAATACAATCAAAGAGGAATGAATGAACGATGCTTAATCAATCCAATTCAATCTCAATCAATTCAAGCATTATCTTAGCACATCAATCAATCATTTTACTGTTCTGTGTGGTCGTTGCGTGTGTTTCTCAGGTATCACTAGGCTTGTGAACTTGCGATCCTTTACAAAGTTTCTCTCTTAGATGTGTTGAAGATGTTTTATTGTTTTAAATGGAATATTTTTTTATTAATTCAAATACTTTCGCGTTTCGTCTGGTGAGTGAGGTAGCCGGAGACCAATTTTCAAAAGGTTGTCAACGCATCTGTAACCGTCGGGTGAAGCAGATGTCCATGGGCGGCGGTATTCACTTACCATCAGGTGAACCGTCTGCTCGTTTAGCTACTTTTCACATAAAAAAGTATTTTTTATTGTTAACTTTAAATAAAGAAGGTAACGAAGGGCGAGCTTTGCACAAAAGCATTCTCTGCCAGTCAATCCAAGTCTCAATATAGTGACAGGTTATGATAGGTGCAGCAAAGGATACAAAATTTACAAAGTGTATTGTTGTTATTACGCGGATGGGCCTCCCTTGTGCGGGACACAGCGCGCGGAATGCACTTACGACGGAACACGGCTTCTGGGTCTTTCTGATTCTGTGTGTAGAAGCTTATGCAATAATGTTTTTATTTATATATAGTTACACGAAAAAGTAAAGTCCGACAGACTGCTCCTTCTTTGTTGTACCTACGCATTATGAAAGATGAGGCATATCAAAAGTTCCAAATGTATCGATAGTTTGGCAAAAAAACGTGAGAGCTGTCAGGCCGGTTTTAATTTAAAAAAAGACGACGTAGTGGGTGCCAAACAAGTTATGACGTCATCACAATATATAAAAGAAATAGTTATTTTTTTTACTTTGTCAGTATTATTTCAGTTTATTATAGTTATTTTAATTTATATCGTAGGGTTTTGGAATCGGTTTGACAAAATAACTTATTTATGTTCACTACTTCATCAATTAAATATGTGACCTATAGATAAACTTGCCGGTTCGTCCTTGGGTGAAATAAGGAGAAACACGAGATGTGCTTGTGTTTCCTCTTCCTAATTTAGACTAATAATGTTTAAACAGAAATAAATGAAATTAATCAATAAATATAACCTGCTTTTTAAGAGATTACTATAAAGAACACTTGCTAAACATGAGAATAATTTTCGGTAAAATTCAATGAATCTTAATAAATGTTAAGCATTAAAACTATACAAACCTGCAACATTAAATGCGTGCTCCAAGCTCGCCGCGTGTTCATTGCTTTTGTGAACATTTTCGGAAGCGGTGTCGATTTTGCTCGAACTCATATTGCTAATAATATTTCACGTATAAAAGGAGCAATTACAGTGATCGAATCACATTATTAATTGAGATGAAAACACTGTTGAACTTAGAGATAAACACGTCCGTTCGCAACGCGAGCTCCTGAGCTTGTAATTTACGAGTCTTCGGCTTTGATAATATGAACTATGTACTTAAGCGCTGATAATGTCTTTAAAATAATTGGCCATACATTTCTATTATCAAGCATCAACTAAACTTTTTATAGTTTTAGCCTTCACGTTAATTAAAAATTAACTTCAGAAAAGAATATCTGCTATCACGTCCGCAAGTTCGACAAATCGTCGTTTTATCATCGATGTGCGCTCATTGGAGCCGCCGATTTACGTCTAACATGATTTATAATAATAAGTTGAAATTTGAATCAAAATGTATATTTACACTTGTCCTTAAAAATTGAGCGATCTACCTCTCTGAGGTCACCATCATCTTTGTTTCATTTATTTAGCCGGATTTATCAAACAAATGCATATTGAAATAAAAATGACATAGACAATCAAATGTTATGTTTTAAAAATATATAGGTAGATGTATTTAAATTAAGCAAGCTATGAAAAAGAGACATAATCTACGAAAATCTTAACTATAAGCTATACATAAAAAGATTATGGGTGATTCAGCTCGAGAGCTCCCGAGGGAGCCTGGGTTCGGGTCTTTACGCTATCATTATTAGTACCGGTTTGGGAGGCTGCCACTTATTCTGAAAGATCATTTATCGATATTTAAGTTTAAGCCGCAATATACTTATTTCGAGTTACCTACACATACTCGTACTACCGCGGAAGGTACGAACAGTATTCGATTTTAAGGAGCTATTATAGAACAAACTACCAGAATAAATTATACAAATGTAAAACCGTTGTATTCTTCAAAAACGGGTATTAAACAATGTATGTGAACTGCTACGATTTAAAAACTTTAATACATATTTTAAAAAAAATCTGTATTAACACATGACTATTTATAACAATCGATATCAAATACTATAATTTTAGCATCAAAACTGGCGCAGAACAAGCCACCTCTAATTTAAGCTTTAAACTGCTGACGGGCTGAGTTTATTTAAATATGACGGCACCTACAACTAACGGATTCGGATGTGCGGCGGCGGATTCGAAGTAGCGGCGCGACGATGACTTCAGGAATTGAGCGATGGTTGGCAGCTAAATCTACATTAAATCTACATGTAAGTCGAAGTACCGTATGAGCCACGGTGCTCCCGTAGCTCTGCGCAAAAATAGATTCTGGATGAGCTCAAGCCGGTGTATTTGCCTTGGGGCAATGTGCGCAAAGACCGGACTCGCGTGTGATAATGGGGTGAACTACTGTCTTGTATAAAGTCACCTTATTCCGAAGGGACGTTTTTGAAGTTTTATTTAAAAGGGTGTACAGGCGACCTAGTACGACCGCCCGGTTCCTGACCCGTGACACGAGACCGGACTATCCATGAGTTTAACGGGTGGAGGATTACCTTTGACATGCGGCATGTCGTAAGTATGGAGTGTGAACAGGACTGGGCCCAAAACCGACCCTCGGGGCACCCCGGCTCGAACGGGATGCGTTGTAGAGCACACCCTCTCGACGCGATAGCGGAAGGTCCGATCACATAGGAAGTCTTGTATTATGCATACGAGACGATCTGGGATTCTGGTACTCGTATTACTTGTATATGAGCCCGTTGTGCCAGACTTTATCGAAAGCCTACGCCACGTCTAGGAAGAGAGCTCTGGTGTTGAGCCCGTGTTCGCGTTTAGCAAATCCATGCTCCGTGATGCGGTGCACTTGGTGAGTACATGAGTGGTTGGTTCTGAAGCCAAACTGGTTCGGGAATCGGGAGCCCTCTAGATTCCATGAAGGATCGTAAGCGGGCTAATAGGTATTAACCGTTCAAATATCTTCCCAAACGTTTTGAGATGACTTATAGGGCGATATGAAGTTGGGAGTGTAGCGGGATTCGAGGGTTTGAGGAACCCTAGAAAGAAAGAAAGAAAACATTTATTGCACAAATACGCCACATGTACATTTAAACCATAAACATAAAAAATACATAGTAAAAAGGAAAAAAAGAAGAAGAAAAAAAAAATTAAACACATCACACATTTTACACACACAATTATGTGTGGCGTATACGGCAAACAGACCTCACTCAGCTTAATGCCGCAGTCGATACGAGACTACAGCGCTGGTTTACAGTGGGCCTGTGAATTAAGGGACGTACGGACGTTCACACCGTCATTGATAGACTAATAATAACATTTCAAAAAGTATTGTTATCACCATATGAGCCCTGTATACTATGAGGTACTAATTGGAAATAATATATTACTTCTGCTTTCTTCCATTCCGGACGGGAAGAAGCCTTCTGTCATTGTCACGTTGTTAATTATTGCTAGTATCTGAAGGAATTATTACTAGTATCTGAATAAAGGATTTGGTCGCCCTGTATGAACTATTTACCATAATATCCATTTTTGCTTGGACCTTTGGACCTTTGTCGCACTATAAATGATTATGCCCAGCAATGATGTTTGTAATCGTAAAGGTAATTTAATTCACTATCGGTAAATTAAAAACAAAATTGAAAAAGCCACAAAATCTTAAGATATTCAAAAACAAATATAAAAATAATATGCGCCAGTCAGAAATTATTAGCAAAAATATAGCAAGACAAAAATGTACAGCAACTTTTAGTTAACTTAATGTATTCTGGTTTTTCATTGAATTGAGATAAAGATTGAGAAAAACATTGTAAAGATACTCTTTGCTTTTCCATGGAAAAAATTAATTTAAATCTTATATTGACAACATTAGAACAATTATTAACATTAGAATATTACAATTATTAGAACTAGTTATCTTCATATTTATATATAACTCTATTGTACGTATGTATGTCACTGAACTTCTCCTAAACGGCTGGACCGACTTTGATGAAATTTTTTGTGTGTCTTCAGGTCGATTCGAGAATGGTTTAGATTCACATTTTTTTTAAGTTCTCGGATTTAAGTCGTGTGTACAGGGCAATGTCAGCCCGGTTCGTTATTAAAATGTAAATAAATAACATGTGAAGCCCAAACTGCTTCATATATTTTTTGTCAGGATATAAACAATTTAGTATTCGATTGGGAATCGAACCCAGAGTCAAATAAGCAACCAAGTTTCCTAAGCCTCTTTAAGACTTCATTGGTAATCATTATTTCAGCACTTCAGCCTGCTAAACTACACTGCTGAACATAGGCCTCTGAAGGACAACAACTATCGGTTCTCCAACCGTTTTCAGAAGATCAGCTGTAAATCCGCCCTACGCGTACTAGTTACATTTCAGTCTTTAAGCGTGAATTTATTTTTTTATGTGAGAAAGTGGCAAACGAGTTTTGAAATTTGCACCCATATTAGTTCAAGCAATATTTGTGTATTTTTCTTACATGGTTTTAACTTAGGCTGCAAAAGCTGCACTTAATAAAAGCCAGTTTTTTTTGAGGAACCGACGACACAATGCCACCACTGTGGAGGGGAACGGGACTCCGAGCGACCGATCCTGGTACAGGAAAATACTAAAATAAAAGTGAAATAGGGGAGGATGACTACTGCTGCTGCAGGAGAAAGTCCTTCAGCAGCAGTAGCCGCGGCGCTGGCGGAGAATTCTGCTTGGCGGGTACTGGTCTCCTTCTGTGAAGCTGTTATGCTCCAGAAGGAGATCGCCGAGCGGGAAAGGGAGAGACGACACGTCTGCAGACGGAAGGGCAGACGTGCTGCCCCGTCAGCCCTCCCCTAGGCTCAGAGAATAGGACTAAGGTATCTCCTGCCTGTCGTAGGCGAATAAAAGGGGACACGGATTGGCAGCAGCACGCGTTCCGTAGGAGATCCCGGAGTCCCTACAATCGTACAAAAGGTGGCCACCGAGGGTTTTAGTGGATTAGAACCCCCACATAATGTCATGTAATGATAGGGTATCTTTGGAAGATACCCGCCCCCCTCCTCAAAAGGTGTTTTGGAAGAGGACACAGCGAGAGGAAGAGTTCTTCAAGCTGCTTGTTCGATATCGTCGTCTTATTGTCATATTTTTAACAGACTTCAAAAAGCAGTAGGTTATCAATTCGGATGTTTATATTTTTTTATGTATGTTCGGGCATAACTTCGTCATATATAGACGGATTTGTGAAATTCGTTTTAGTTTTGTGAGGACCTAGAATATTTAAATTTTAAATCTTCAAAAAGACGGTTAAACAAAATTATACTTTCTTCTTATAAAATAAACAAACTAGACACTTCCATAATATAAAACGAAATAAAATAAATAAATATTTTATGAAACTAACAATAAACTTCAAAAAATGACATTTTTTTAGACTTATTTAGATAAACTATAATATATTTTTAAATTAAATTGACCAGAAACTTTATAAATTACTCATTTAAACCACGAAAATAAAATCTAAGGAATATCAACGAATCCAATGTCTCATTTGCAAGTACACTCAAGTTGTTGCACAAAGAAGAGGCTGAAAAAGCGCGTTCAGGCTCGATGGAAGTTGGAGGAATCGTCAATAAATTTTTATAAGTCTTCTCCAAATTATAACCTCGAGTGGAACTAGCCTGTAAAGGATTAATTTCTTGTTTAAAATTTTTAGAAAAATCAGAAGCTTTTCTTACTAGTTGTAAAAATAGGTTCAATCTGCATCTCCACGTCATTTTCTTCATTAATTATTGTTCTTTTTCATCTATTTACTTAGATACATTAACGCATTGTTCCTTTTCAATAATTTCATTGATTATCACCAATTAACAAAAAAATATATATCTTATCCTTTAAACGATTTTCATGAAATTTCGTGAACGTCGATTCGGGGGCGAAAAATCGATCTAGCTAGGTTTCATTTTTAGAAAATGTCCTTTTATACCTGTTTTCAGGGAATGAAAAATATCATTCGAAGATGACGGTACATTTCGCCGCAAAAAAAAAAGTTATAGTAGCTCGGTCGGTAATCGGGCGGCCCCAAAACAGACGGCCGTGGTTCGTATCACGATCATTTACACACTTATTTTTTTACTTTTTTTTCGATTCCAGATCATTGCTTTCTTTATTTTTTGTCGATTTATTATTTTGTTATTTTTTCCCTTTTTTTAAAGTTCTTTCTTTTGTGAAAAACACTAGTTCATATTTTCTTATTATTACGTCGGTAAAATCGAAAAATATTATGCATACTTCATTACTCAGTAATTTGTATCTAAATGTAGTTTCCAAAATACGTGATTTACCAAAAAAAAAAAACGACGGCCCTCGAGGTACTAATACTTACACGACGTGAATCGGGAATTTTTACACATTTTTACGCAAAATGCGGTACCGGTGTTAGCAAAAACAAATGAAATCAGCTCTGTAAATAAGATGATTGTCAAAATGTCAAATCAAGGTAAGTGCGATACGTTTCACGCACATCTTTTAAGGACTTATTTAAAAAAATGTATCATACCCGGAAATCTTGGGATTCATTAAATTTGATCCCGAAAATTTATCCTCTAGTTAGCGATGAGTAACATAATACGATTTTTTTTACATCGCGCATCGTCTGCACAATTTTCGCTGATCGCTTGTTGGTCGCTAATTTTAGCTGATAAGACCGCGGTCGCTGACTCCAAATGTTTTAGAGCTAATCGTAACTTGAGACTACGTCACGATTGAATTCTAGAAAAACTAACACAATTAGTTGATATGATAAAATTGTTATGAATTTAATCTATAACAGGAAAATGACAAGCAATTTTTCAATTAGATAAATTGTTATCAATCTTTGTATTACTTTTTTTACGTGTAATTCATATTATTGAATAGATATTAATTAGCTAGGTTGATGAGACACGCGAATATTTTGAAGTACATCTGGGGATATGTTTCCAAAAACGTCAAATCGCACCACGAAGAATAACGTTCTGTGGTTAAATAGAACGAATTTGATTTTATCGTCGGAAAGTCTTTCTTCGGAAATCTTTGAAAGCTACGCTTTCAGATGATGACATTTATTTTTTTTTCGTCTGTCTTATAGATATTGAGATTCAGAATAGAACAACGTTTTATCTGATTTGTGCTCCGGAGTACAAGGAGATGTGTACGTTTAGACAATGTTTTTTTGTACTGACTGGACTAAACTAAGCTTAGTTTATTATATTGTAACTTTATTAGAGTCAATTGATAATTATTGCACAGTCAATCACTTTTTATGGCTTTTTCGTTGAAAAAAGTTCTAAATGCGTTTATGTCATACATATTTTCTGAGTTTTTAGTAGAACAACGTTATATATGAACATGTGACCTATTATTTTTTGGAATGTTCCGTTGAACAACGTCATATTAACGTTTATATGAACTTGTGACCCTTCAGTTATTGCCGTTTTCCGTAAGATAACGTCACTTTTACATAAGAAACCTCCTATTTCCTATATTTATATAATTGTTAATAATTATTCAAATATTTATTAAAAATTATTATTCAAAAACTATACTGGTTGTTAATATACCTAATTGTATCACAAACCTCAAAAATTGTAATAGCAACTGCTATGTATAAGAAAAATAAAAATTTAAAAAAATAATAATTTGAATCGGCTGTCCTGAACAATTACAATTTTGCAGATGTCACGATGTTCTGCGCAGAGTGCCTTTGAGCGGAAGGCACTAGATTTTGCAGATCTTTAGCACAGAAAATGTATTGTATGAGATATATCTGAAATATTGAAATAAAAATTAAGGTTATAAAAAGTAGGTATTTTATCAGTCAGTCAGGACAAAATTTTTATGATCTAAGAATTGTTCCTGATCTGGGCTTTTGTTTCCGCTTAATTCGTATATATGAAACACTAAAACAGTGGATTACCTTGTCGTGCATGGTAGGGGTAATGTTTTTTAAAGTAAAAAAATATTTAACACATCTTTTATTTGTACATTTAATATCTTACACTGGTATAATTAATTTCTAATTGAAATAGTAATAATGTATACTGTCCAAGCCAGTTATCGGAAGCTACTACGGACGTGAGAATAAAACAACCGTACTCGCTTGGTAGAAGTATATAATCATAAAAATGCTGATGACTTATGCTAATTACAAAAAATTCCAACATCGCGATTTACGAACGAGACAGCGCCATCTATTGGTCAGAAAACAAAACAACTTCTATTATGAAATCGCTGTCATCAGTTTACATATTTTTAGGTTAGGTATTAATTATAGATATTATTTAATTACATTTTTTTTTAGAATTAAACAACTATAATATTAATTACATATATATACAGGAACTAGCTACATGTCTTTAGTTATGTTATTATTAAAGTCTTGTTATTATTTCTTTTTTCACCTCGTCACGTTTGGAATTTGGCAGCAGAAATGATGACAAGGCGCAAACTGGAAACAAATGATATGAATTACTACCACTCCTACGATTCTAGTATCTCCTTTATTCCTAGAAAGCATAAGAATACATGTATTCCCTTGTACGGTTGCGAGGTTGGAGTTGTGTAGGGCGTTAGCCCGAATGAAGTGTAGCTATAATCAGTTGCAAAGAATATTTTGGCTAACATATTTGCTCGTATAGAAAAGAGCGGATAGCGTTTCAGCATGATAAGAGCAACGAAATGATTCAAAAGCCTTCGGGAACGTTCGCTGTGATGGCGGCTTCCAAAGAGAGTAGTACCCTTTACTTAGTATTAAAAAGAGTAATTCGACAGAAAGGCTCGGATCGAGTGCACTAGTCTGTTTAACATGCTGAGTTATACAGCAGTTTATAGAGCACACTGTTGTGCCACACTCACTATACGGAATTATTTAGTTAATAGTGTTGATTCTTGTTATTTATTTCATGTTTTGTTTTATAGGCCTCGCGTTGATTGAACTGGGGAATAACTGATTTCCGAATGCCATAAACGAGCATTAAAGAAAACCTTAAGGGTCTCATGTCCTTGCTGTGGAAATAATTTCATATTTGTACCATTGTTGATTGGCGTGTAGTGTTTTTTTTAATGTGAAAAGTTGCCAAGCGAGCAGACGGTTCACCTGATGTTAAGTGACTACCGCAGCCCATGGACATCTGCAACATCCGAGTGTTGCAGATGCGTTGTCATCCTTTTGCAAACTGGGCTCCGGCCACCTCACTCACCAGACGAAACGCGAAAGCATTATACTTCCACTGTACGCCGGTGTTCTGTGAGGTTGTACTTGCCCGGACGAGCCTGCCCAATCATGCAACATCCGAGGCTGCTGCGTGGCCCTGCCACCGTATAAAGTGTAGTGTAGTGTGTCATAAACTTACGAATCAGCAATCCTCCGAACATGTAGAAAGTGGCGGAGCAGGCGGCGTTTAAAAGCAATCCAGCGACGTTGGCCCCTAATATAGATCCGCACCTTCCGATCATCATCGATAACGATACAGCCATGCCCCTTTAATATGTAAAAAAGCACATACTGAAGCTAAAATTGTACATACGGTCTTAGAATTTGACCATATCAATCAGAGACAATAAGTCCACACCAGTGGAATAGAGAGAGTCTTTGATAGATCACTATGATGCTTTCACTTTTGGAGGTTAAAGCTGCTTCGGACATAGAGCCCGCTTGAAGATTAAAGCCCCACGGACGTGTTAAGATTCTACGAGTACAGCCATGATAGTACATTTATTTTTCTGCTTTGTTATGGTGTTCTCGACTGAGACTAGTATGCGGCCGCTACACGGAGGTCGTATGCTTCAGTATGTTTATCACTTATCTAGTACCCATTGTAACTTTTCTTATGGGATCCGTATGGGTTTAGATAACGCTGTATAAAAATATGTCTTAAGCAATATTTTGTATTTACATATTGTATTATACTTAATAGTTAATGCTTTGCTAATATACTTCAATTTGAGAAAAGTATGAACAAATACCAAATCTTATACATGTTGGTTTGTTTTATTTAATATTTTGCTCAGGTATATTTTTATATTGTATAATTATCATTTCTTTTTTGAAAAACTTTGCCCTTACTATACAGTATCTATCATACGACACTGATGATAATGGAATCGAGCTCACGACTGCCGGCGTCAAGTATTGTAGATTTGATAACTCACCGTAGTTGGGTGGGGAAGATTTCGACAGCGTACGCGTTTACTGGACCAATCGCCAGTCCAACGATCGGTATCGCCGACATGAAAATGGCGAACAGTATGTCCTGGGTCACGATATTTGTCAGAATGCAGAAGACGCCAATGAGGGTGAGCACCGCCAGGAGCAATTTCTTCTTGCCAACGATCTTGACGGAACTGCTGACGGCGATTGCAATAACAGCGCAGGAGACGTTCGCGATGGAGTTAATGAGGTAAGTTATCGTGTCAATACTGTCGTCGCATATAGCGACGTCTGACCCAGTCTGAAATTATATGTGATACTTTTAATACCGGAGATTCCAGGCGCCTGTGGACAATCACAACACTAAATCGTTATGTTCTGTTATAGTTATGTTGCCAACCATTGATACGCTGATGGTTGAAGCCTCCAGATACCTCACTTCGATAGATAATTAGATTATATTATCGCCTATTAGTGTTGCAGATGTTATATGAATTGAGAACAAAAGAGTTTGACTATCACTTTATTACATGATAAGCAAAATATTTTTTGTCATGCTATATTTGCAATTGGTAATCAGAATCTTTATGCTATTACGTTTTAAATAAGACTCACTTTAGTGCAATTTGTTATAACAGTCGGATTGCCCTTAGATTTCAAAGCGTGAGCCGCCCCAACTTATTTTAAAGGTATTTAATGGCAATGAGCGAGGTCTTTAGAATAGGTGCTGTAGGGATAATTCTTGTGCCTTTTCTATACTAAGGATTATGTTTTATAGCGGCCCTTTATATGCTTAATATTCTATACATCAAATTTGCATCGCTATTTAAGGATATTGCTTACATCGGGAGATATATACAGCGTCTCGTTACAACCGCGACAATAAATGAACACACATATAGTGGATAACTTTTTAAAATTGTATTAAACATTTACATTCTTTAAACATCAATATTTAACGAGATATAAAATTCGAAACAAACAACTTTAGAACATCCTTACGTATAAAACTGTAACGTAAAGTTCACTTGTAAAGGTAAAGCATATGAATGGGTTCAATGAATTTAAGAGATAAAACATACTGTTAGAAGGAGAGACTTGTAACGTGACGCTGTGCCAATGAATGAAATGAATTGTTTCTTTTTGTTTCTTTTTTATTTAATTAGTTTATTTCAAAAATATATTTTTTTAATTATGGATTTTTTTAACGTTTTATATTTTTAATGATTATTGGCAAGTAGCGTTAGAAGTGTGTTATTCTCACGGTTATGACAGCACGCAGTATAACACAAAAAAAATTAAGTAAAACATTGTTTATGTCATTGTCAAACTTATCATAGTCTGTTGTCAAACAGTTGATATAGGAGAAAGTTTGTCACCACACAATTTTGAAATGCCAGATTGACTGAATAAGCCTGAACAAATAAACTCTTGAATACAGTACTCCGATTTCGACAATTATGGTGATACTAATAAATAATTTTCTTCATTATAGCTCGCTTTTAATTCAATGAACTCCGGCAAGCGGAGTTTAAAACAGGGTACTGGCGGCGGCGATGATATTGTTAGTTGAAAGTACCAATTTCCAAGTGCATATTGTGTAAGGAAATAAACTGAGGAAACATGCATATATGCAGAAATAATCAGTTCGATGACTTCGACTTTTACTTTTTATTAGGGGATGGGATTGGCTCCTGAAATACAGGATATCCTAGTTTGGGAGTCAAGGCGCCATTAAATGTGTAACTAAGTGTTCAATAAATCAAATTTATTTATTGTGTTCTTTATTGCGTTTTTGAAAGAGGGTTTTGTTTGGTGATTTATCCGCGCTGTTCTCCAAGTTTAGTCTTACAACACAAATATTATTACATTATATTATTATTCAAAAGCCGTGATAGCTCAGTGTCCGGGCGCTCGCCTTCAATTCAATAAACTCGAGTAACTTGAGTTCGATCCCGGTGCAGGCACCAATGAAATTGTTAATTTTAAGTGCTGAATTATTATTATCACGTGCTCGACGGTGAAGGAAAACATCGTGAGGAAATCTGCATATTTTCGAAATAATAAAAAAAAAATTCCTAGATATGTGAAGTCCGCCAATCCGCATGGGGGCCGTGTGGTGGACTATGCTCTAACACCCTTTGTACAAGGAGGCCTTTACCCAGCAGTGGGACATGTATAGACCGATACTTTACTTTATTTTTAATTTTCAAGAAACATACTTCGTTAAGCCGCTGAGCAATTACTTCGCAGGCAGTGAGTCCTTCGCCATCTCCAGTCAAAACCCGGTTCAACACGTCTGGCAACCAAACGTAGAGTCCATTCAACCTATCGCGTTTAAATTTATTTAAAAACAAGCCACTTGGATTTTTCAAGTAAATAGTACAAGTACAGTTTTACATAACAATAATATAATTATATCTAGTCTCAAACTACCCAAAGCTTGAACAAACATATTTTCCTTCTTGAAATAAAGTTATTTTATGGATATGTAAATATCCAGATAGTGGAAAAAACATTTTGTCCATCGCACAATACTCTTCCAGTAATGGGGATCGAACCCAAACCTTCTAGTGTTTACTATCCACTGCGATGATTGGATCTTCTTTGTATTTTTATTGTCGACTGATTTTAATTTTTAATTTCAATTAAATTCGAAGCTCTTGGAAAACCGACTTACGTTGCAAATATACCGAAGAAAATGAAACTGTTAAGCGCCATCCATTTCAAGTATGGTGGCTTAAACAACGGCGCTGATTGCACTTTCAAGGAAGTAATAAATCCGATTTTTTCTTTTTTAACATATCCCTCCGTTTGTAATTGTTTTATCTGAAACGTATAAAATTTATTAAAATTAAGTCTATTATACAAAAGGGACATTGTTGGACATGTTTCAAAGCTACCATTGGAGCAAATGCAATTTTTCGTAAAAATGTATTAAACAATCGTCATAATTTGTACAAGTGGGAATTAAGGGAAGAAAGCATTAAAGCAAAACCGACGTGCGTACATAATATAAGAATATATACGATTAGCAATAATATGTTTATAAGGTAAATGACTTCAGTGACTTCTAAAAGGAGTTTGGAATATCGAGCAACGAGTATTTATGTAGACCATTGTTGAATTGATGAGTAATCGAAAGAGCTGAATAATGGCTCGACCAAAAAAGAAATGGAATTTTAAGGAATACAGTGATATACAATAATATACATAAGAGCTCGGAATTCAGTAAACATTTACATAATTCTTACGGGATATTCGTCAGGGGCTTTCCCCTTGTTTTTAGAATATATCGTCTTCAGTATTTCGAGTGTTTCGTCGTGCCTGCCATGTGACAACAGAAACTTTGGACTCTCTGGGCCACACGATAGCAGCAGAGACGATAACACGAAGGTGGATCCGTAGATTATAGTTAGAAGCCGCCACGGACGAAAGTCGTATGCTCCAAAATCTACACTGAAGTCGAGCGGCAGAATCGCCCAAGCGAGTACTGTAAACAACAATAACATGTTTTTTAAATCAAGCAAGGAGTCCTGGTAGGTCAGAATCGTACTTCGTGGCAGTTCAGCAGTGGACCCAAACAGGCTGAACTGATGATGATGACGATGAGTAATAGATCTTGTTTTATTTCTTTAATCGAGTCCAAATACGGCCCACCTCGCGTATCATTGTATTGGTAAAATTAAAAAATAAAACATTAAAAAAGTATTTTATGGTTTTGAATTTTGATCAATTTTTATATTACAATAAAACCAACTTTTTTTTATTTTACTGCCAGTCTCTACATTGAAGTTGCATGTGTATTTTAGAAAGTTTGCTGTGATGGTATCACAGTAGATAACGCCAAACATGCAAATACATTAAAAACAATGCAGATAAGACGGCGAGAATTTCTCGCGGTGAGTAAGTCGACCGCGTGGCATCTGGACACATTATCCGGCAGGTTCGAATCCTCGCAGAGGCTAAAACAACCTGGTATATATATGTCCCACTGTTGGGAAAAGGCCTCCTCTGTACAGATTGGCAGAGTTGAAATACCTCCTAAATATTTTCTTTTGTTATTATTTAAAAAATATAACCTTGAAAATACGATATTTTGCTCGCTGTATAGCCCGTGATGGGTTAGAACTTAATATTGCAATTATAATAATAATATAGTATTTGATAATATTTTGTGCAAAATCCCTACTAATATTATAAATGTAATTGTAAGTTTGTTTGACGCCAAAACTACTTAACCGATTATCATGAAACTTACACAACCAACGTTCACATATTCTTAGAGGTTGTTATTAAAAAGGACATAAGATTAATTTAATTTAAAAAATATACTATAAAAAAAAGGTATTTATTTAAGGGCTTATAAGCTATATATAAAGAAAAGAAAGAATAAAATGAAAAAAATCTCAAACATACAGCAACTTACATGGGACCAAGGCGGATCCTAATATCTGCATTGCGTTAGTTATAGACAGAGTGACGTCTCTGTACTTCGGCGGTAAGATTTCGCCAATAAACGTGTAAGGCACGGAGGCGGGACACGCGATGCTGCAAATAAATTTAAATTAACCATAAATAACACTTTTCTACTATGCTAGGGCAATGTAAAATATTCTGGTTTTCCACGAATGGGTTGGATAATTCGGGAAAGTACCAACGGTCCTATAGATGGGCATAAGCCTACTTTTGCATTGGGCATAAACTTACTTTTGCATTTAATCCAGTGCGTGAGCTAACTGGGCTCCAAGTGACAGAGATGTTCATTGGAATTGGACATACTCGACACGTAAAATAATAATACACGTAATAAAGGGAAATTGGGTCAGCAGATTTGTTCATACTTATTACTCTTTCCGACACTTTAAACAGAGACAAGCAAATTTCCAGTAATGAACTTCTATTAACGTTGAAGTCTTCTCTATTAAGTGCTTATGCAAATAATTTGTCTTTATTTTTTACTGCAATATTTTTTGCAATAATTAGGTATGAGTTTTAATACGTTTGAGATTTGTTTTTTGTCTATTTCAGTATGAAAAAAGTAATGTTCTCTTAGTGATTAGTGATGTCTAAAAATAAATTAACCTATGAAAGAGGAAAGATTAACCATTTTTTTTAAATTATGGGCGATTGGTCTGACTGATTTTAGTTTGAATCTATGAGTGGTGATAGTTTTAGGAACAACTGCGAAGAATAACAAAACAAGTAAGTTTAGTACCTGTTTTTCATGTTTCTCAACTGTTTTTTTATTTTCGTTGCTGTAGAAGAAGGGATGTCAATAAAAAATATTCTCTAGATAGTTTTTTTATACCTTTACTGTGATATGAAACTACTTTGTATTAAGGTCCGATTTAAGGATTTATTAATTCAAATTAATATTTTATGAAATGTTGTATATTGACATTCACAGAAAAGAAGAGACATTAACAAAAGAACAATGACACTCAAAACAACTCTATGATGTAGTAAAAATCTTCAGCCAGTGTCTTCAACATCCTCCCTTTTTGACTACATCATTGTGAGTCCAATTTCTTTGGATATCTGAAGAAGCTTTGGTCTGTGGACCGCTTTTGTCAGAATGTCCACCAATTGAATTCTGTCGGTACATACTCTATTGTAATATCGCCATTTTCTACGAGTTCTCTTATGTAGAAATGTCGTATAGCAATATGCTTAATTCTTCTATGCATTTCAGGATTTTTAGCAATCTTTACAGCTGCATCATTATCAACTTTGAGTTGAGGTACCTCTTTGAGAGGTGATAGAACGTTAAACAATCTTTTCAGCCAGATTATCTCTCGAGCTGCTGTCTCTTCGTAGTCAATGCCTTTCCTTTGTGTATAGCCACGAGCTACAAGCCTTGCTTTAAATTTATCAAGACATCCATCAGCGTTTGTTTTAGTTTTGTATACCCATTTGCATGAAACTGGCTTTCTGCCTTTAGGTAGTGGCACTAAAATCCAAGTTTTCATCAATCCAAGCATAATGGTGTGATCTCACAAAGCCTTTAACAACACTTATACCGATTTTTCAGTTACCAACATGTATAATATGTCTATATAAATGAAAGGTTCAAACAAAAGTAATTTAATTTCGCTACTGTATACTGCGTTGTAGGTATATATTGCAAGTGCACTGACGCAGCCTTCCGAGTTGCCTCGAAGTACGGGCCGGACTGAAAACCGGTGTCGGGGTCAGGTCAGAACGAATGTTAGTTACTGTATCTCGACTTTTACCGAGTCCCGTCCGTTTCACGGTCTTATGCTGCTACACAGACCTTCACTTATTGTTATAATTTTGTTTTGTTTTTTTTGTTATATTTACATTTCAGTTTTTCTAATATTATTGTGTTAAGTTTTTCTAATATTTTATTTTATATATTGTGTAGTTAAATAATTACTTTTAAGTTTTGTATGTGTCCATTGTGCTTAGACCGTGAATAAAAGTTTCTTCTTCTTCTTCTTCTTCTATAATACAACAGGCAACTTACCACAGGGAGGCGAAAACTTTGCATACTGTAAAACTGCTAAAGTCCGGCATGAACGCGGAGATGATTGATAGCCCGCCGCCGACTAACGAACTGCAGATAACCGTCATCTTTCTCCCCTTCGTATCCACCAAATATCCCCAGGGGAATGAGGACAATACAATTCCTACAACAAATAACATCCTTTCATTTATTGAAACATTAAATTTTCGTCTGGCAATTCACTGCTGATTTTTTAATCCAATGACTCATTTGAGTAATGTTTCGATTATTGCAGGTAAGTTTGTTTGAATATATTCAGCCTGCAAACAGTTAATTAACTCGTTATAGCCAGATAAGTCCACTGCTAAATATAGGACAATTGAAAGACGGCCGAAAGGGTCGTCTTTCAGTTCGATCCATCGGCTTCCCGAAACCTAATAAAACTATTGTACCGATTATATATAAAAAAATTATGAAAGATAGATGCGGGAGTCATTTTAGAGCCTACATTGTATCGCATTGCAAAAACAGGTTCAAGTTACGAAATATTTGTAGATAATTTTGTAAGTTTTTAAATTTTTGTAGTACTAATCTTTGCACTTAATATTACACCTAAAAATTGGAAGAAGAAAGGAACGAAACGTTTCCCGCCGCTGTGGGAATCGAACACACGCATTCGAGATTTGCGCCCTGACGCTCTAACCACTAAGCTAAACGGCTGATTGCCACACCGACGAAATTCTCAACGCGTTTCATCTATTGTTTTTTAGCATTTTACGGTGGTAGGGCCACGCAGTAGCCTCGGCTGTTGCACGCATGGGCAGACCCGTCCGGGTAAGTACCACGACTTCACAGAAGACCAGCGTAAAGTGAAAGTATGACAAATACTTTCGCTTTTCGTCTGGTGAGTGAGGTAGCCGGAGCCCAATTTTCAAAAGGTTGTCAACGCATCTGTAACCCTCGGGTGTGGCAGATGTCCATGGGCGGTGGTATTCACTTAACATCAGGAGAACCGTCTGCTCGTTTGACAACTTTTCGCATAAAAAAAAGCAATGCTTGGCGCATCCATTGTTATAACCAGCATAAAAACAATTTCGAATATCGTTTTACAACGATAATTCGAATGAGAGATGTCTCCATTGCTTTTTAGAAATTTTTAATTTTTTATAGTGCTGTCTGCACTTAAGATTAAACATTAAAATTTGTATAAAAAAGGAACGAAAAGTTTCTTGCCGCTGTGGGAATCGAACCCGCCTCCTTCGGATACGCGCCATGACGCTCTAGCCTCTAAGATAAACGGCTGATTGCCACATAATTTGATAATTTTGTATTATAATTTCGTAAACCGCTATTAGCAGCACAAAAAAAATCATCCCTATTATCTAAATTGTGACAAAGAAAATTCAACGTAACATATCTGTGTGCCTTCGGAGGATCCAACCAATTATTATTTCAGAATATTACAATAAAATGTAATCAGAACAAAACAGTTTCTGCTAATACGCATTTTGTTTTACCTAATTGGTGAACTCTTGAATGTAACTAATGTTCTTTTTCCTGTCCTTTTGTATAGTAAAGATAAAGTTTTAGAGGTTATTCCATGAAGGTTTTAACGCTTCTTCACCTCTAAACGATTTCATAGAGATACAGATAACGTCCAAGCAGATATCTGTACCTAAGACACACTTTATACAACAAGTTAAAAAGAGACATGAAGAAAATGTTGTAGTCAATGAAGGCTTATCTCTTTTCACTGTAAAAAAAAGATTGAAACAATACGAAGAACACTTTCGTAATTAAGTTAAAAAAAAGGACATTAAGCAGAACTGATTAACATATAGTGTCATCCGATGATACAATTTCTTTGCTACAATAGTGTATTATGGTGGCTTTTGAAAAATAATTCAGTCTCATGGTGTTAAGTTATTCATTTTGATATTATAGTAAAAACTTAAATTACCTAGGATGTTAGCTCCTATTCTACGTTCCTGAGAGCCATGATAGCTCAGTATCCTGGCGTTCGCTTTTAATTCAATATAGTCGAGCAATCTGAGTTCGAATCCTGGTGTTGGAGTGACATTCCATTCAATAGATGGTATTCAAAATCTCAACTTACCTTACCTAAGAGTTTGTTCTCTAAATCTCATGTATGTTAAAGTTACTGGATTTTGAACTAGATAGTATCGCTTACGTTCCAACTAGACATAATTATATATCAATAAGTAGTCATACCTATAAAATGAACAGAGCTGACCTTTGCTTTTTATAGATAGTATTCTAAAGAACAACTTAAATCGGATAATAGACTCTAAATCTCACAAACCGTCTCTGATACTGTCTGTTTTTTATCGGTTAAAACTACTGGCATCCAAACTTTATCACATCTTTTGATATCGTCCCAGCTTTTCTCTGCTACATATATGAATAAATAATTACTCATACCTATAAACGGAACAGAGCTGAGGAAACCACGTTGCGCGTCCGTTATGTTGAGATCGCATTTTGCAGCAGGCAATACATAAGAGTAACCGAAAGGCTCCACGATCGCAGATATCAGGAACATGGCCAAAACCAAACAGTACTTTATATTGTACCAGCCGATACCTGGGGAAGATGTATCTTATATAAAGCCAAAATATTAACACATGTGATATAGCAAACAAAAGAAAAATTTAAACGATAGAGAACTATATATATATATATATATATATATATATATATATCACTTACGAATTAATCAATGTGTACAATTCGGTAGTCACTTAATAAATTTCAATCAGAAAATTACGCTCAGGTAGACCTACTTTTGATATATGCTTAATCCGGCATTGTCTTCTTTTACTTTTTAAATAATTAAAAATGTAGACAGAATAAATTGGCCAAATCATTACTTTGTAAAGTGCGTTAAAAATATAAAAATGGGTTCTTGTGAATTTTATCATTAAAATGGAATTGAACGCAATGGAATTCACTTTAGTAACAAGGTCTATTAAGTTACAATACGGTCTTTTAGCTAATGAAAATGTATCACTTGTTTAACCTACTTGATAAGACAGTAAACTATGTTTGGATATTAACAATAATTTAAGTTAAGTTTCCAGTATTATAGAAGTATTATCAAAAGTTATCAAGACAAAATAATGCCACATAGTAAAATATAATGCAGTACGTACTAGAACGGCGGTGTACTGAAATAAAATCAATATCAATAGAGACATGTATTGCTATGTTATTTATTGCTATTTCATTATAAATTTATTTATTTTATACATGCAGAGCATTAACGAAAACTGAGCTGTCTCGGGGTCCTGAGTTCTGACGCATTAGAAAAGCTTATGGAAAGACTTGAGTACCTAATTTAAACTTGTATGCTAATTCAAACTAAATAAAAAACTTCAAAACACTGTAAACACTGTAAACTAAAAAACAAACAATGGATATTTAATTGAGTGGCCTTTAAGATAATCTACACTTCCCTATGTTTTAATCAAAAAACTTTTCAATCGATCGTAGAAAACTAATTTTGGTTTCGGAAGTTATCCATTACATAGAACTGAGCAAAACTTGCTTTACAATATAATCAAAGATAATTAAAATAACGAAGTTTAATCAATCAACCATTAACTTTACTAACACATTAATCATTTTACGGAAGTTCTCAGGTGATACAAGACGTCATCCTTTACAAAGTTTCTCTCTTAGTTGTGTTTATGATGTTTCGTTGCTGTATAATCAAATATTCTGCTAGGTTAAAAGAGAATAATTATTATGGGTACCTCTTATAGCCTAACTTTATAAGCTTTATCTATTTGTTGCTTAAGACAATATTCAACAGGCAGCTTTTGCAAACTGATATAAAGGGGGTTTGTCGAAAGCAAGCTTCGATGTTGTATCTTTACTATTTTTTACGGAGTTTCAAGTATTTTACCACCACTCCACCGGTTGGTAAATAATACATTCGTAAGAGGTTAAAGTTTTACTTGGCAGAATTTTATCCACATAATTTTGAAACTTTGATTTTATCTTTAGTTTGACCAAAATATAGAGTTATAGACGCAGACATGTGTAGTTCTACTTGCACAGATATTTTCGTACCAATGAGGCGAAATATGTGTGTACTTTTTATCAAAACATATGGGAAAACTTTATTTACCATACTTCTGCAAATAAATATGATTTGATTTGTTGTACGCATTACGAAAGATACGGCAAATGAATCGATAATATGCCCTTTAAATTTGGTGAAACATCAATAATCGCTGTCGGGCACATTTGTTACATGAACGAATTTTTTTAACTCTGTTGAGAGCAAATTTTGTACAGAGTAATAGTTCATTATTTTTTTTTTAATTATTTTTCTCTGTATCATAGCTTTTTGGAATTGATAAATAGTAAAACAACTTTTATTTACGTCCATTATCTATTCGATATCTGACCCGTACCTAATGTTACCGTTTTGAATTTACCTTGAGTGAATTGTTTGAAAACAACACAATATCATTCTATTATAAATAAGTAATATTCTCAACATACAATTAAACGTAATATATCATTATGTATTCCCGTTTTTTTAAATTACTAAAGGAGAACAATCTTCGCTTTTTCTATGTGAGAAGGGGGCAAACGAGCTGGCAGTTCATCTGATTTTAAGTGATAACCGCCAAGCATGAACATTTGTAATACCCGTAGTGTTGTGGATGTGTTGCAACCTTTTAATAAAGAGGGCCCTGGCTACCTCAATCACCAGACAACAGTCACAAGTTTACAGTCCATTTTACGTGTTCCATGAGTTCGTGGTACTTACCCGGACGGACCTGCCCATTCACGCAACAGAGAAGACCGTTGCATGGCCCTACCACCGTAGTAAAATGTGTAAAAAAAATTAAATCGCTCTCAATTATTAAAACTACAAGTACCTGCAACATTAAATGCGTGGTCCAAAGTAGCAGCGTGTTTATCGTTGTCGCGAACATATTCGGAAACGGTGTCAATTTTGCTCGAACTCATTGTGTCAATAATATTTTTAATATATAACGAACAGTTATTGTAATCGAATCACATTATCAATTGAGATGATAACAATATTAAAACGAGGAAACAAACACGACCGTCCGCGACGCGAGTTACTGAGCTTCTAATTTACGAATCTTCTTTCTATTTGATAATATGAACTATCTACGTAAGCCCTGATAATGGTCCTCAAAAATAATTGGCCCTAAATTGCGATTAACAAGCACCAACTATCCGTTTTATACGCTGATTTCACTTCCTGTATTTAAGAATCAACTCCGTAAACAAAGAAGATTCTAGTCATTTATCATTAATGGATGAACATTGAAGCCATGTGACATGATTCAGTAGTTTTAATTTACATATTATGTTTTCAGCAATCTACCTATGTAAGGTCAGCATCACTTTTTGCTGTTTCATTTATTTAATGAAAAGATAAGAAAAGTACTACATTTAAATAATTTTTTTTTATTTAAACAGTTGCCCAGGGTTACCTCACTCATCAGACGAATCTCGAAAGTATATTTTTCAACTCATGCCAATCTCCTGTGAAGCTGTGGAAGTACCACTGCTTCACAGAAGACTGGCGTCAGTTTGGTTCAAATTTTAAAAATATAAATAAAGTAATGACAAGATAATGTAAATAAGACAATTATATGTTAATTTTCTAGAAATTAATTATTCTAGATAATAATTATTACTGTTTACAATTTAATATTTTCATGAACAGAAATATTAAAATTGTTTCACTAGCTTTTTGAAATTCACCTACTAACCACATAAAAGAATCTTTACAATATTAAAATATAATGAAATAAAATATTCTATATGAGTGGTATTAATTATATGCATAACCGTAATATAGAACCGGATATAGAATCTTTCCGTAATTAATATGAATAAACCCAGTAAAGTTATTGGTTTTTAATAAAGTATACTGAATTATATATTTTATTGTATATTATTGTTGTTGGATTTATTAGCAATAATATTAAGCTTATAAACATTTCCTTAATGCAATGACATAACTGTATTAGGGAGAATAATCTGTTTATTTTTTAACTTTATTTGTTTAACACAATTGTAAAATTCTCATCTTCACATATTTGCTTTTCTGCTGAGTTTATTATTACATTATCTTACGTTACATTATCTTAAACTGCAATATTGACACGAACATTACCTGTCTACGTGAATATTATCTAGAGCTATAATAAAACAAGATCATTGTAGTTGCTAGTTATTCAAATTTTATTATAATCATTTAAACGGCATATCAATACAACAACAATTTTTACCAGCCATTTGAATACGTTTGGAATGAAAACCTTTGGTTTTGTTTAATTTATCCTTTACCAATTTCTGTTGATTAGTTAATCCTTCAATGTCATCCTTTAATTTTTTTATTACCTTATGTAAAGGCAACAACTTCTCTTTGTAGACGCTGTCTAAAGTTTGTTCTAAACTACTATCGCTGATATTTATTGGGTCATGAAAGCTTTTCGTAAGGGTTCGTAATCCTATATTATTGGTAACGGGATGAATGCTTGAAAATTTAATTCCTCTTTTGTCATCTGAAAGATTACAATAATTTTCAAAACTGATGCACAGATATATAAAGATAAAACTTTTAATAATACAAGCCATCTCAGGTTCGTAAGGTACATGATAAAATAAACATACTTGTGTTCTAAAACTGATAAGTAATAATGAATAAGAAAAGCCAGGCTGCCATTTCGGTATATAAAGTGATAACAGGGTTGGTATAATCATTTTAAGCAGCTAGCTAAAGCCATTAACTTAGAAGAAAATTTCAAAGCGTTTAAAGAGAATAAAGCAAATGTATATTTCTGTATAGGAAGTATGTTAAGATGAGAATTGTACACCTTTGCTCAATAAAGAAGATTTATGAATCAAGTCTAGTTTCTTGTTCCTTTCAGGTAAACTTTTTATTGATTCATCGTCCTGACTTTTAATTTGCTGATCCGTCTTTATTTGCAATAACAAGTCTTTATCCGTGTGAATTGGTATTTTTATCAGGCCTTCGTTAGGTATAATTACTGTTTTAAATTGTAATACATTATCGTTTGGATAACGTTTTATTTCACTGATAGAACGAAACTCTAATGTTTTGATGACACTTTCGTCGTTGTCTGTATAAAAACTTTGAAATGCGAAATCTAAATGAATTATCTCTTTATCTATATTATTCTTTGACGTTGCATCCTTTAAATTTCTATCTTCTTTTTTTCTTACAGCGCCATTATTAAACGGTATTGTAGGGGTTTTATGGACGTTATACGATGAAGATTTTTTCAAAATCCTTGGTATGTCACTCGATAAATTCAATTCATTATTCATTTTAACATTAATTTGTGAATCTTTTTTATCAATAGGTTTATTCAGAGTATTTATGTCAGATAACTCTGTACTTTTACTCATCGTATTATCACTTGTTGCTTCTGGGACTTCCCTTATTTTCTCATCTTTAATTTTATCTTGGGTACTATCAATCTTTGGTACAATAGTATTTTTGATATTTTGTAGTTTTGCAGTTGAACTACTTTCATGCACTGTGTTACTTATTACAGAATTGACTTCATGTAATTTTTTTTCTAAACTGATGTCAGTGCCAACTAAAAACGGAAATTCGGAGTTATCTTGTAATATGTCTTTATCGGTATTCGTTGAAACAACATCACGTCTAACCGAATATCCCTCTACTCTACTTGTGTCCTCTTCTTTCTGGGTCTGTAACAGATTATAATAAAAATTACATGATAGTAAAATGTTATAGCTAATTTCTAAGAAGATAAATTACATGCAAAGTAAGCCCTACATCAAGCAAGCATAAGTTAATTTTCTACGCATTTTATACACTTTTTGTCACGTTTTAAGAAAAGTAAAAGAAAAATATTCCCAAACTTATATTTTGACCATTACGCTTATTTGGCCGGTCAATTAAAAAAAACTAGCTTGTATTACTTAGATGCAACTGAATGACATAATGATCTTAAAATATTAGGTACTTCAACTTACAAAACTATCACGGAAGTCTTGGTCGCTGTATTTGAGTATTTGTTCTATTTCCTTCACCTTTTCAGAGTTCAAGCTAATAGATTTAACTGCATCACTTATTAATTTTTCCGCTGAAAAAACTTCCCCTGCCGAATCACTACTGGTTTTATTGTTTCCAACAGGATCTTCAATTATATTTTCATATCGTTCGAAATCTTCTAATACATTTTCTTTGGAACTTTTTGTAATACTCATTTTATTTAAATTAAATTGATCGCTGTCTTGTGAATAAACTTTAGATATTATTCCACCTTTTAAGTCGTCCTTATCTAATGAAGAATATTGTAATACAATCGGAATTTCATCTTCATCAAATTTTTGTGTAATACTCATTATTTCTGTAATGGGCTTATCCATTTCTTGATTAATCTCTACATCTTTATCTATTATTTTTACATGTCCATCTTTAAATGAGTCCTTTGCTTGCGCAATCACTTTTTCGTCACTCTTTATAACAGAATTGTCGGAAATATGTTCTGAAACACTTTTTATAGGCTGACTGCTTTCTTTTGCGTGAAAGTGGTCAGTTGTATCCATTGTTTCTAAAGTTTCTTGACTAAATGTATGATCAGCTGGCGATGTGTTTATCATTTCTGCCCTATTTTCTTCAACTTCAGCAGATTTTGTGATATTTGTCACACATATTACTGGCTTATCCTTTTCCTTGAGGTGCGGAGGCTCCGCAGCCGTATCTGTTGTTTTTAAGTTTTCATTGTTTAATGTAAGATCTTGTGGTGGCGTAATAATTTTTTCGATGCTATTTTTGTAATTTAATATAGTATTATCTGAACTGCTTACTTTTTCAGTAATGCGCCCACTCTTCTCTTCCAATTGAATCTCGGGAGACGTTTCCCTTTTTTGTGAATAATGAACATCAAAATTATGATTTAGAGGTGCTACGACAATTTCTTCATAGTTATTGAGTTCACTTGGGATAGCGTCCTCTGTCTTTTTTGCGAGGTATAACACACCTTCAATAGAACTTGTAGTTGGCGGTGAATGAAATTGGTTATTATTATAATTGGATGGTAGGTCTTCTCTACATGCGACTTTTTGGACGCTGAATGAATGTGCAGCTTTACTATCAGTTTTTTTATTGTTTAAGTCTTCGTCAAGATGTTTCGAATCTATTGTATTTGAATCAAATTCATCTTCTCCGCTTATGATAATTTCTGTATTTGATTTTATTTCTGGAAAAATTTTAACACTAGTCGACTTATCTTTCTCACTCCTAATTATAATTTCAGGATAAAAATTTTCATGTTGCTCTGGTAATAACATAGGAGAAGAAATAGAGGTTAAAAGTGAAGCTATCGATTTGCTTTTACTGCTTAGTATTAAATTATTTTTTGTATCATTTGGAATAATTTCTTCACAAGTCACATCTAGTAATAAATTTTCAATTTTTACATTATGATTATTTGCTTCTAATTGCAAGTTAGCGTTTCTATCATGAGTTGATTCAATATTTTGTATACTTTCTGAAATTTTAGTCGAAAACATTGGCAAGGTTTGAGCTTCGAGTTTCGATTCATATAAAAGTTGTTCTTGGCTTTGCACTGTAGGATCATCAGGATCTTTACTATCTAAATGGGTGTAGGAGTCAATTACGCTTTTTGGTGTTTTATTTATTGTTTTTATTTTCGGTGATATGTAGTACGTTTCCAGTTGTTGATTAGAATAATTGTAGCTTCTGCTTCCTTTAGAACTACTAAAACTTTTAGATCTTTTTTGAATATTAAGTTTTTCAAGTGCGTCACGTGACGGGGAAATTGATGGAAAAGTTATAATGGAATTGGAATCCTTTGTGGGCATTAAAAAAATGTTAGTTGATAACAATGACCTAGATTTTTCTTTTTTAACTCCAGCATTTGTAAAATCAATGCCTGGAAATTTGGTAGTGCTTTCATTTTTTATTTCTTTATTATATTCAGGTTCATTTTGTTTCATTTTTGTTATACTTTTTTCTGATTCTGGCACGATAAGCTTTGGAAGGTATGAGTATTTTTCCTCATTAAATGGAGGGTCCAAGCAACCACCTAAAATAATAAATCATAAAAGTCAAAAAGTAGTAAAAGTGTTAAAGCATATTTTTTATGACGCAATATTTACCTGGTTTACATTTTCCCAAAAAATCTTTAGGCTTGGATTTGTTCCCGTGTGACGCTTCTATGGTACTATAATTTTTAGCTAAAGTGTAATTGAGTTTACAAAGAGTCTCATTTGAAAAGCTCTTCATTTGTTCCAAGAGACTATTTTCTTGATTGGCTTTCTTAGATGTACCTATTGAGTACTCATAGCGATCTTCATCATTCTGTATACCCAGGCATCCTCCTATAAATATAAATATAAATTGTAAATCTATTACAAAAATATTATACAAAGTTTATTACCGTATAAAGTTTTCTTAAGATCTATTTATCGTATTTTTTTACTTAAATTTAGATTACCCGTAATGTAGGAATCCATTGTTCTGCGTTGTTGAAACGCTTAATGTAAAGTTTGTCACGCTTAATGTTCTAATCAACACATGCAAACACCAAGATCCCTATTAAATATTTTTTGGCGTAAATATTCACGCCAATGTCAACTACCCATTGTCCACCATACCCATTGAGTTTTGAATGGAAGTTTTTGATTCCATTCTTCAACTGTTATATTGTTTTTCTTTTAAGACAGTAAACAGATAAATTTTTGCACCTCATTCACCTCTGTGAAATCTATTTATTTATAGTATTTTACGGATACTTCGCGTTTAATTAGATTTTTAAATTTCAAACCCTTTCCAGAGTTCGTAGTCATTGAACAGATTGAGTTGTTTCACGTCTTAATGTCAAGAGTTAGCTCGGGCTACCGTCAATACTCAAATATTAAAATCTAATTAAACGCGATAAAATTCGAAAAACAGTTTCATTTCACAATGTATAATATTCGCATAAAAACAAGAAATCAATACACTCACCTCTTTTAAACAATTGCAAAATTCTTTTTTGTCTTGGCAGTGGCTTTGTTGCAGATTCTCCTCTTTCCATAAAAACGTCGAAGGACATTATAGTTTGATCACTACTGGATAAACGAAGTTTCTCACTGCTGTATATCGTACGATTGATTTTCGGTATGGATATGATCCCTCCACTAAGAAAATGATTTCTATTCTTTTTTCGTATTTTTATTTTGACCTTTAAAGGACTGCTGTTTGATGCACTAGATATTTTTCCATCTTCATGTGGCACTGCCTCTACTTCGAATGCTAAACTATCCATAACTCGATCCACGAGTGTTGTATCGTTCATTGTTTCTTTTTAACAGTTGGTGTGTAATGGAATGAATAATTTTAGTTCTGCTTAAGTTTATGGCGTTGTAAACTAAAAATTGGAAATGATTTTATTATTACGGTTTTTGATTTTTTACATGAGATCTTCTCTTTAAAAAAAATATATGTTCTTTATAATTCTTCTCCTTTCGCACATATGGGCGGTCTTTTCCGGGGAATTCCTACAGTTTCACATGAAGATGTCGTTAATACATACTTGCGTACATACTTTCGCATTTTGTTTCTTGAAATTACGCTAAACTTGCAGCGGTTACCGTGCCGATGAATTTATTTTGTACGACCTGAAGTTTTGTTAGGGTTTCTTTGAAAACATGTGAAAATTGAAACATCTCTCGTTTGAATTATCGTTGTAAACGATATTCGAAATTGTTTGTATGCTGGAAAGGCTATAACAATGGATGCGCCAAGCATTGCTTCAAATGCTAAAAACAATGTAGATAAAAGACGTTAAGATTTTGGTCGGTATGGCTATCAGCCGTTTAGCTCAGTGGCTAGAGCGTCAGGCCGCGATTGCCGAAGACGTGGGTTCGATTCCCACAGCGGCGACAATCTTTTCGTACTTTTTCTACATACGTTAATGTTCAATCTTAAGTGCAGAGATTAGCACTATAAAAAAATTAAATTTCTAAGAAGCAACGGCGACATCTCTCGTTCGAATTATCGTTGTAAAACGATATTCGAAATTGTTTGTATGCTGGAAAGCATATAACAATGTATGCGCCAAGCATTGCTTCAAATGCTAAAAAACAATGTAGATAAAAGACCTTAAGATTTTCGTTGGTGTGGCTATCAGCCGTTTAGCTCAGTGGCTATAGAGCGTCAGGCCGCGAATGTCGAAGACGTGGGTTCGATTCCCACAGCGGCGACAATATTTTCGTACTTTTTCTACTTCAATGTGAAAATTATTCAAGCGTATTAGGTAATACGTAGACTACAAAGTCTATGCAAAATGTCGGATTTATCGTCCACGGGTCTCTAATTAACAACGTTAAAATATTATTCGAAAAACACGATGTTCACAATAGATTGTATTAATGTCTAAATAACTTTGCAAAAGTAAAGTCTAAATAACAATTAAAATCAGTATAGAAATTGTGCTGGCCACCATTTCCGCCAGAACGCCAGCTAAAAGGACCGGCACCAGAAGGATGGATATAGTGCTATGAAATGGCCTAAAATAGGATTGAAAAGGACTAAAAGAAGTAGACTTCAAATAGGTACCTATATACTTTCAATTAATATTCAATTAAATTTATATTATTCGAACTTATAGTAAAATTATATATCCAATGATAACAGGAATGGACCTGGAAAATTGTATTATTTTTAATTAATGATGGTTAGAAAAAATGGGTAAAGAAAACAAAGGGCCAGCAAGGCAAAACTAGCTTTATAAACTAGTTCTTCCTTTACTTAAGTGGATATATGTACGGTTTTAATGTTTTTTTTTATGTGAGCAAGTGGCAAACTAGCTGGCAATTCACTTGATGTTAAGTGATAACCGCCTGCCCATGGACTTTTGCAAAACCCGTAAGGTTGCAGATGCGTTGCCACCTCTTAATAATGTGGGCCCTCACTCACCAGACGGAGAAGTGCAACACTTAGTTCTACTTTACGCCGGTCTTCTTTGAGGTCGTGGTACTAACCCCGACGGACCTGCTCATTCGTGCAACACTGTTGCGTGGCCATACCATCTCTAAGTGTTCAGGTATCCTAATTTATTTGATTAACACAATCAGAACCAGTTATTGTTAGATTTTAATTTAGTCTTTTTTCATAATTGGACTTGCGATATCTCGTAACGTATGTATTAATTCATTATAAAAAGATATGTAAAAGAAAAAAATTAGATTGACCCGAAAATGTTTATTTCTCCATAGCCTTAAAATAAACGTGCCAAGGTGTGCAAAGGTGATTACATACGTAAACAAGTTGTCAATGAAGAAGATTCAAACTAAAAAAAACATCAATTATTTTGGTCGTTACTAATTATGCTTCAAGTTTCACATTTTAATCATTACAATAAATATTTTTTTTTATTTATTATTTGTTGCACATTTATAACGTTCTAAATAAAATAACAACTACAAACAATAAAACAGGGACAATTAATGCAATAGTACCTGGAGGACCGAGCTTGGCTCGGTATTTTTAATTGATATTGAATAAAAAATAATATTTGCCAAATTTACCTTCAGTAGAACCTTAACTATGCGACGGCCATCAAAGCTCTTATGGATTGCAGTGGGACAAACGTATATACAAATATATGTGATATATATTTGTTGATAACCAATGGGTTTGTAACTATAATAACGCCTTTATCATTAATATCATCGGTATTTCTTAGGAGTTACTGATGATCTCCATTGGGTTGATTAAAAGGGGATGATTAATCCCCAACAAAATGGATAATGTTCATAATGTATTAAACAGTGACGGAAGCAATATTTTTTTATGGAAAAAATGAATCATATGTACAAACGTGTCACCTGATGGTATGGGTATGGACTTTTGCAACATCGGTTGAGTCAGAATTGCATTCCTTTAAGGTAGGAGTAGGCGCTCTTTTTGAAGGTCCCTAATTTATATCAGTCCGGATATATCGCTGGCGACAACTACTTCAACAAAGTAGATGTGCGGGGCAGAAAATTTCATAAAAACCCACAGCGGTGCCAAGCAACCGTCAAGGTGGTGTCGATGCCTAAATTTTAGTTCTGATTGATCTTAGTTCCAACTAATTATAGATGTCGCTACGAGAGTGGCGCTTCGAGATATATGGCATTAGAGTGAGCCCGTGCTGTTTTTGGTTCGAGACTTGGAATAGTAAACATCTAATATTAATAATTAAGGTTCTACAAAGTTAGTTAAAATAGAATAAGGACAAATTGTGGAATAATATCGACAAGGCTGGATTAAATTATGCTTTTGTACCAGAGGTTACTGGTTTTATTACACAAGTAACTCAATATTATTTGTATGAATAATCAATAAATAAATGATAAAAAATTTAAGAAGCGAGGATGAATAATTACATCGTCATGTATAATGTAGTTCACTTAATAGAAGAAGAGCAAAATTTTATGGAATAAATTCCGTCACTGGAGCACTAACCTAAATAATAAACCATAAATAACCTAAATAATGGAGGTAATAATCCCAGGTTGCGGATGGCAACGCCTGTTCAGTCTTCTTTATTATTTCTAGATCGTCCTATTTATTTGGATATAAGTAGATATGCATTAGCATTCGTTTCGATTAAGCTAAAACTAACAAGAAGCGAATTTTATAAAGAAGTATTAAATCAAAACGTTTTGAGAAATAAAAAAAAAAACAGTAGGAAAACAACATTCATTTATTAGACACGATCGAATAAACACCTCGATTAGATGGAACTTTATGTCGCTTGTAACAACTTTCTATTCTATAAGCTTGGGGATAAATTTCACGTGATACCGGGTTTTGAAATGATTTGGATTCAAGCGATAGCCCTAACTGTATACATTTATTAGTAATTTCATTTAACGCTATTCTTAGAGGCAACATTTCGTTTTCTATTTTCTGTATGAAATTACTTAATCGTAGTGCGGTTACAACCTTAAATTCTGAACTAAAACGAGTCATAACCGGATCAGTGATATTTTCTGTACAATTCCGACGTGCTTTTTCATTTCCGGCACAACAAGTGGTTGTATTTTGTTTATCTTTGTTATTTTCATTTACAGTTGATTCGTAGCTTGGGAAGAACATGTGAGTGTTACAAAAAGATGTATTTTGATACACGGTTTTCAATAAAGGGTGCTGAGTATCTCGTTCAGAAATTATAGACGTCATTGTTAATTTTGAGTCAATCTCCAACTTTGCATTCAAATCAGTAAGTGTCTTTACGGATTCAGACTTCATGATGTTGGCTTCGAATGAATGAATTTGTTCATTTAGGACTTCGTTACCTTTGTAATTTCTAAACTCTTCTTTACTTATTTCTATTTGGACACTGACAGTTTTTTTTGCTACAAACAAAAATAAAAACATTAAAAAAATATTAAAACCAGTAGGTATATTGACAACAATTTTTACTTCAATAGGAATTTGGATTTAGGTACTCGTTTATTTTTTTTAATTGTATTTGAGAAATATTAACTGATTTAAGATTTAAAGTTAAAGCCCTTAGGGACAAGTATTTGATCCCTTTTGGATAAGTCTATAGTAGGAAGTACCTATGAATAATTTTTTGTTTATATGGAAAGATCTCAAAAAAATCTTTTTCCAGGGAAATGTATTTAATGTAAATAGTATTTAGTTATTAGTCGTGTCATTTGGTAGATAAAAACGGGTAAAATGGGCTTTTTATGTATTTTAATCTATAGAAATAATATAATAAGGCAAAAAGATAACCTGCACATAAGATATCATCAGAGAAATAAATGAAACTGCTTTCTTGTAAATTTTTATCTTTAAATATATCTAATTTAACAGTCGCCACTTGTTTTGAATATCCTTCTTTTTTCTCCATGCAATGATATTTAAAACTTTGTGTGTAGTCCTTCGTCAGTGCGGTTGTCAATTTTTCGGCTAAGTTTCCTTGTATATGTGTTAATTTTTGTATGAATGTAGTGTCACTTACTATTCTTGACACATCACCTGAGCCTAGCTCTACATTATGTACAGATTTAACTGGCGAATGTAACAAATCGACAC